GAGTGGGGGAGCAGGTAAAGTAAGTATATTCCCTAGCAATCATTGAAGGAGTTTGCTTGTGAGAGGTTCTTCAGAACTGCAAACTGGGTGTTAATTCGTTATTAGGGATTCATATGACAAATGTCTCAAACATTTTTCTTATTTTTTTTTTTTTATCGCCTTCCCAGTACCCTACTTCCCTTCCCTTCCCAACCTAAACTTTCTCCAATGTGTCCCCCCTTTTTTCAGCCTGAAGGAAAAATGTTACAATTATTTTTACAAGCTGTATGTATCTGTAGCAGTTGTAGTTCAGTGAAGTTAAATCAATGATGCATTTTCAGATTCAAAGTGAAAACTCCCTTGTTCTGCCAAAGGGGATTCCAGTTGTCAGAAAGTTAGGGTTCCCTGATGTTATCATGCCAGGTTGGTGTGACACATTTAGTTGTTGAACTTGAAATGTATGAAATAATCAACTGCAAGCATCTTCAATAATTTTTCTCTCTGCGTCAGTCGTTGATAAATTCACTGAATTTTATCACCCATTTTAACTCAGAATTGATAAATACAATTTATTTCCACAGGTGACATAAGGAATGATCTCTATGTTACTATGGAAAGAGGAGAGTTTGAAAAAGGTGATGAATAATTAATGATTTTAGTTTTATTTCAATTATCTCAAGGAAATAATTTTTTTTCTTAAAAATAAAACACAAAGATCTCAACCAAAAACCTTTCTGTTAGGCTTCCTTTGATAACACTGTACTTATTGACTGAGTGGGAGGGCTGGACGGAAAAAGTATTGCTCGAGGACATGACGTAAGGACCTCTCTGCGCTCGGTCCGGGCTTCATGACTGAAAGCCAATCATTTTCTGTTTGGCCCAGCCAAGCTCAGTCAATAACATTTCATCATGTGACCACTTCGAAAATTTGGTTTCGACTTAAACAGGACGCAATAGGTCAGGGAACGCAGGACAACCATGAAATAGATTCTACAATAAAAACTTTTTTCTTTCTTTTGTTTTGTTCTGTTTTGTTTTTTTTTTTTTTATGCAGAACAAGAAACTCACAATTCATCGAAAAATGCGACTTTTGTTGAATGTTTTCTTTTTTTCACAAAGCCGTGTTGAGGGCGAGGCCGGACGGCTTCTATCGGACAGGCTCACGTCAACGCGTCCGGCCTTACACATGTCAGCTTTCACTGTTTTCGATGAAATTGCGCTCGTGGGGCCGTACGGGTCATATGATAATATCTAATATCTGACTCTAAGCAAGACTTGACAGTTTGGACGAAAATTTAAAAATGGATTCTTTCTTTTTAATTAGGATCAGGAAAAACTACATCGAAAAATGTTGAAGTTTCCATGTGTGTCCTCGGACCTAAAGGCAAAGTGATTGAGGTAATGATGATGATGAATGGAATGTTGAAGGCCAAATGTTTGTTGTGCTTTGAAACTGTGTTGTGCAGCAAGGTCCATCCCATTTCATACTTCGGAACAATAAAGACAGAGTTACTTGCACATGTTGTCATGTGCATATGTTGTAATGTATTGAACTAGACGTCAAATAGATAGATAGATAGATAGATAGATAGATAGATAAATAGATAGATAGATGACCTTTATTTAATATACACGATAGTATTACAAGCTTGTGAGGTTGAAGGAGAAAAAGGAAAATTATACGTTATGTAAATATAGCTTTAATTAAAAAAAAAAAAAGAAAGATATCTAGTATCCTTCTAAGTAAGAACAAAATCAGTATGTGTAAAGTGAGCAGTAGAAGCTGAAAGTACGTCAAAGTTAAAATCCTTTAAGTAGTCTCTGGTGAGTTGGTGTTTTTTCAGAGTTTTGAGCCAGCATCCCACTTCTTGTTCATTGTGGCAAAGGGTATTTCATAACACATAAATGTGCACATGTAATTTTCATGAGAAAAATGGTGTATTTTAGGCTTAATTGTCAAATAGGGATTTTTTTTATTTGTGATGGAACTCAGACAATGAAAAAATGTGAGTCTCCCAATCCCACCAGGAATCGAGTGTGAAGATGCGGTGACTTAGAGGTTAGCGCATTAGGCTCCCGGCTGAGAGGTCTGGGTTCCAGACGTGGCGGGGTCATCGTGTGTTGTGTTCTTGGGCAAGACACTTTACTCTCAAAGTGCCTCTCTCCGCCCAGGAATATAAATGAGTACAGGCGTACTCTCAGAGAAAGCTGACAATGGGGCAATTCATGCTTGACTAGCATCCCATCTAGGTGGAGTACCGATACTCCCAGTTGCTTCGTGTTTCAGGAACCGGGATAAGCTCAAACTGGAAGGGCCACTTGACTTGAGAACAGACTTAACTTAACTTGGAGGAGTGGAATTTTTGATCTTTAATTTTATTAATCTTATACTCTACCATTGAGCTACAGAGAACCTTTTTGTGAGGCAGTCCGTACACAAGGTTCACAAGTGACCAGTGTCCTGCATATTGTTTGGTTCAGCAAACGGATGATTATTACGGGATGTAGGATGCTTGTCACATGTGAATCCAGCTTATGGCTTGAATGCCAACAAGTTCGCTGTAGCTAGGAGTTAAAGCATCAGACTGGAAAGATCTGAAGTTCAAATTCTTGTGGGAAGTCAGACTTTTCCTTTTTCTGATCCTCACAGCATATTAGTGTCTACTGTTGCAACTAGGATACCTCTACAGTGCCACTTAATGTTCAGGGATGATAGATATCTCAGTTGTTGTCTAAAAATAATATTTTAATTTTTGATTTTGATGTTTTTAACTCAGGATTGTATTTTCCACGGGGCTGGAGGTCCGAGTGTAACAGAATATCAGTCCATTATCTTCTATCACAACAGCAGTCCAAAGTGGAATGAGACTATAAAGGTGATTTTTCAGATTAGAGTTAGAAACTTTCTGACCTCGGGGGAATGGTAACACAGGCTGTGTGACTTGATGTCTTGGTGCCGATATATAGCATAATACGTTAATTTTTGATTCTGATAAAGACTTCCATGATCCCTTTGACCCTTATAAGTGACCAGCATCTAATTTCTCCTTACAATACCAGCCCTGAATCACACATTAAGGTCAGGAGAATAAAGGAAATGATCACCAACTGGAGAAGCTCTTGATTATTAAACAAATTCTCCTTGTCAGAACTTTTGGAAATGTAGAGAGAACAGTATGGGGAATATGCATACTGATGTTAGGGTGCAAAGGCATCAGTCACTACTACTAATAAAAGTCCTTCACTGGAATCTCACGCTGACGATCAGAATACAAGATCTAACAACAGCTAGAAAATTAGCGTAATCAATTCATTTAGCTGAACAAGCTTCTTATTCCCATTGTACGCAATGATGGTGTATGTTTACAAATTATAGTATAGCTAAGGGGATCAGAAGGAATTCTATTTAAACTGCCATATTGAATTTGTTTCAAAACAACTGGTTTCTTACATACACTATGTATTCATTGAGATTTAAAGGACTTGGGAGTTTTCAGAAGTCTGATGAAGTTCAATTTCCTTGCAGCGAGATCTCGTGCAACGCTTGCGCATCTTCCAGGCTCTCAATTTCCTGCATGCGTTGTATCTCAATGAACGCACCCTGACGTTTGAACCAGTTGTTATACATAAAATTTTTATTTGCCAGATTTGAAAATGAACTTCAAATTTAAGTGTAACAGGTTGTGAAGTATTTTCCATCTGTGTTTGGATAACAGATACAGCTTCCCTTTGACAAGTTCTTGGGAGCCCATCTGAGATTTGGCTTTAGACATTTGTCGAAGTTTGAAGGTTTGTGCTTCGTTAGATTTTTTGACCTAGGCAAATCAAAGAAACAAACTCTTCCTGAATGTGATCTAAACTATTTACGGTCTCATCGTAACCTGTATTTCAAAACAAGAACACTTTATTGATCTTGGTTGAGGTTTGAGAGCCCAAAGGCACATTCTTCTTGAGGAACCTTATTTTGGTATCTGTAATGGGTCATTTCTACTGGAGGAACCTTAGCCTGGTTTTCTATAATGGGTCATCTCTACTGAGTGAACTTCTTTCAGGCGTCAATAGTGGGCATTTCTATGGAAGAACCTTATCCAAAGCACGAAGAAAATGTCTTACCATTTGCGCGCTTTCTCGCTCGTTGCGCAGTCCTCTCACCCTCCTCGCACCTTGTCTTCACTCGCGTGAAAAACGCAAAACATTAGGCATGTTCCTTAATAATAATAATAATAATAATAATAATAATAATAGTAATAATAATAATAATAATAATGATGATAATTTAATTTTTATATTGCGCAAATTAACATGTGGATATGATCAAATGCGCATCACAACACTTTTCGGGGGACTTTGGCCGGACTGCATCAGTACAAACAATCGAAGAAAACTTATTTGAAGATGCCCCCTTTCCCCAATTCCCAGTAAACAGGCCAGACCACATCACAGTAATCTCGTGAGTGGGTTCTTTAACGTCCCCTGCCTAACCAAATTATTAGGGACTTTAAGCAAACCACTACGGCTACGGCAACGAGAACGTGGAAAAAAAATAGATCTAATTGGCAGAACAATAGCCCAGCACGTGCGTTTCAAAACTTTGTACATTTCTTAGCCGTCCATTGCAAAACAACAACGTGAAATCACCAAAATCTGCGTCATCTGCGAAGCGAAACCGCGGCGGCAAATTATTTTAATTTACATTTGGATCTCAACGCTACTTTTACGCGTTATGTTGAGTTTGAGGTCTGGCGCCCTATGAGACGGTAAACGCATGCAGCCATTTTCGAGATTCTAACTAAAGGTACAAACTCATTTTTTAATCGACGTCTTCTGTGGCGTTGCCGTTCTGACTGCTTAAAGTCCCTATTATAGAAAGGTAGCGCATTCTCCTCAGTTATTTTAAGACCTCGAGTGTTGGTCCGGCCGGGGCTCGAACCATCGACCTCGACCTCCCGCACAACAGTCCAGCGATCTAACCAATTGAACTAACCCGGAGGCGGTTAGCATAGGCTTAGGCTAGCATCTTCTGGTAAAATTCGCCAAAGGCCGTTGTATAAAAGTTTGGGTGAAGAACCCAACACGATCACTTTTCCAAGTTCTAGAACACTAACCACCGAGCCTCTCCGGCTGAGACAATTAAACAATTATGGCAATAAGTTTATTTGAATTGTTTGAACTACATTTGATAATTTAGAAAGGGAGAAAGCCGACAAGACATTTGGCTTCTCTTTCGAGAGCCTGATGAGAGCTGACGGAACAACAATCCCAGATGGTTCACATGACCTGTGTGTTTATAAGGTGAGTTTGGCTCCCATTGTCACAAATGTACACGTTCTTGTATTTTACTTTAGCAACGGCTCAAGTATTACGAAGCGTTGATTGGATTTTTCCAAGTCTGCTTTGATTGGCTGGCTATGAACAACCTGACCAGGAAAAGTTTATGATCTGCACAACTTAGTAGATACAACGCTAACACAGTTCCTAGCCCGATTGATTTACACAGTAACTTCTTTGAATTGGAACTTTTTGTAAGTCAGAGAAGCCTGTTCAAAAGATGAAACCTTGAGAAAATTTTTACGGAGAATTCGTGAAACATTCAATTTTGACCTCACTTATTCATTCAGTCACTACTCTATGTGCCATTATAGTGTAAGTAATACCCATGTCAGTCACTTCCTTATTGTGGTGTGTGACTCCCATTACGTAGAAACTCTAAAGTTCTTAAGAAAGTCTTTTACCCCCCGCGGGGTCACCCATGTTGGACAGGCCAAAGGCTAAGGGTTTGACGAAAACCTATCCCCAGGCTCGCCGCGTTGGGAGATAGGCACAGGGCCAACAACCGTGTTTCGTGAAAAAAAAAAAAAAGATACAGTGCATGCAGTTACTCACCCCCCCCCCCCCACCAATGTGATGACTCAAAGGTTACTGGGCCCTTTCGCGGTGGTAAATTTAAAAATTCTGGGTCTCTATGTATACGAATTATATTCACGAGTTATAAAGTTGAGGATTGAGGATATGAACTACATGCACGCTCTTTTTGCTTTTCCTGGGTTTTCTTGCTTCTTAATGCTGCTTTCAGTCGAAAAGAGCAAAAATGTTTTTGTTTCCACAGTATGATGAAAATTGTTTCTATGACTCGAAGACCTATCTTCACATGCCATCAACTTTATCGAAATTCGGAAACCATACTACTACAGGCTCTGATCGATTGGTACGTAACTCGAAGGATGCCTTCTACATCAGAACAATAGTGTGTTCCACAAAGCTGACTCAAAATGGTAAGTGCCCAGAAATAATGAGCTTAGGACAAGATACATTAGGAATAATAGTCAAGTCTTTACCCTGACCATACAAGAGTGTTTTCTCTCGGAGTAGAAGAGATGGGGGGGGGGTAGGGGGGGTCTCCTTTCATTGCTTGACCCGGATTACATCCCACGCCCTACCACGATGGTTTTGTCCCCTACGAAGTCTCCGGTTTTTCTTCCTTGGAAAAAATCCAAAACTTCGATTTTGATTTGACCCTGAGAGCAGTGGATGAGGAACTACTCTGGTTACATGACTGCTTCATTCCGATTATTTAATACCTAATTGTTTTAATGTTCTCTGTCGTAACTGGTACCATTAATGCTATTTTTGTAGTTGATCTCGTTGGTCTGTTAAGATGGAGGCAGCAGAAACGTCAAATCCCTTCAGTGTTGACTTCTTTGCTGAAAATCGACGGAGAGGAAATCGTCAAGGTTATTTTAAGTGTTGTTGGTTTGTTTAATTATAATAGATTTGAGCTTGCTTAGAAGACAAGAAGGTGATACGTTGTCGGCTGTACGGTTAACTTAATTGTGTTTGATAATTTCGCAGTTTCTTCAAGACATTTTTGATGCCTTATTTGCCATTCAGAATGAAAGCTCAGAACAATGTGGTAACCTCGTGTTTCAAGCTCTGGTGAGTGGATTTAAACTGCTGTAGAAATATTAGCCTTTGACCAGGGCAAGTGCGTTGCTTGAAGTCCTAAAAAATTAAACAATTTTATACCGTATTCAAATCGGCATTGAATTCGTTGCCTTTTCAGGTTTTTATCATCTGCATTTTGTCTGATGAAAAATATCAACACTTCCAGGATGTACTGACAACGTATATTGAAAAACATTTCAGCGCAGCCTTGGCACACCGGTAAGTTTGTTCGACACGTGTATGGTTGGATGAGAGCCACGAAAACTGGGGCGAGTATACCACGTCGAGGCGTGGTGAATCCGCCCGGTAGCTGAGTGGACTGTATGATTTAACTTTAATTTTCTTCCTATAAGCTTTCTCCAGAAATGATGTGTGGTGGAAGATGGCGTCGAAACGACGAGTAGTTCCATTTTCTTTCACATGTCCTGAGTTGTTTTCTTTGCTGAAGTTTCGATGGTCTATACTAGACCCAGTTTCACGGTAGCTCACTTCCAAACATATTTCGAGTGCCGAGCGTTGTTATCAAAGTAGTAATGGAGTAAGAAGTTCAACAGTTGACCAAAACTTAGATTTTTCGTCTTAGGATGCAAAGTTGAAAATAATATAATTATTACGACTTAATGCTGGTAATCCAAATTTTTGCTCCCCAGTACGGCCGTTGCGCTCCATTTTTCTTGTACTTGTACTTTCTGTTGTTCTTTTATTTCGTATTTTGCGCATTTGTTGCACTGTCCTTGTAAAAATAGAAATTTTCACTTACAGTGATGAGTTTCATTTATGTTCGGCCTTTTCTTTTATTTCATGTTTTCTCTTATTTCATTATTTATTTATTTATTTATTTATTTATTTTGCCGTAGGAAACTAATGAACTGCCTGAAACAGATACTGATATATACTGGAGAAAACGATAAAATGGATTACCTCAGAAATACCTTGACGGTAAGCTTCATTCATTAACTCGCGTGACGAACTTCGTCTAAAAGGAGGGACTGTTCTAAGTCCAGGAGTCATAAGTGGAATTGGAAACGTTGGGATTTTTTTCTGATTCCGTCGAACTTATGATCCCTCTTAGAAGATAAGTTGCACGGGTTCGAATCCCATCGAAGCCTTAGTTTTTCTTTTTTCAGGCTTTTTTCTGCAACTGCTTGAATTTGCAGCCACCCCATCATCTTTTTGCTTGATTGTTAGAGTCGTTAGCACTCTGAGCGCCTAAGAATTAGAATTGTTATTTATTGGTTCTTCCGCTTCTGATGGCGACTCCAGCAATCCTGGTTGTCAACTGACCGTAAGCGTCGTAGTCATGAGTGGAATCAGATACGTTCGGATTTTTCTGATTCCGTTGAGCTTATGATTCCGCGTACGGCTGAGGTCTTCTCCGATTTACTGTCGCAACCCCGACTTCGTCCCTGTCGTAATTTAAAACCAGCTTTTAAATTTCTGTTCAACTAATCAGTCATTCTAAAATGATTTTTGATGTTGTTCTGTATTATTTTAACGGAGCCTTCGTGCAAAAGAGAGTACTCAACGATTATGATATTTTACTAAGTAATCCGAAGGGTTCTTCAAATTTTTATTTAGAGTAGAAGAACCACGAGGTTGGTTTGTCGACTTGGTTTGTTCACCTAGTCTATCTGGTTCGATGAATGATTTTAATTCCAGTTTCTTTTTTCCCAGGCCTTAGAATATCTTTTTAAATTTATTATTCAATCAAGAATGCTGTTGATCAGGCAAGTGGTCGTTTGTTCTTCTCGTGTGTAATACAAACGCGTTAGTGCACAAATAATCCTAACAGCCAATCGGAGAGCGGAATATTTCTCAAGGAGCCAATGAAATTTTAAGGAGAAACAAGCAACCTGCTTGTAGCGCGGGAAAAAGAGAGTGACTTAAGATATGATTCGTTGTAGTTTCGGGTCTGATTGGCTTGGCGGACCAATCACAGTGCGAAGGGAGCGTAACAAATGCAATCTTGGGTTACTTTCAACATTGAATTGAAAATTGTGCCATAGGCCAAGCCAGAGATCAAATTAGTTGGATAAATACGAGTTTTGTTTTTGCGTTTGTAGGAAAAGGGTAATTTTGAGATTCCGTGGAAACAGACAAGTTAACAGGCGATCATCTTGACCGATAAATGCGTATTATATGGCCAAACGATTGTGCTGAAGAGTGGAAAAAAAGATTAAAAAAACCTGGAAAAAAATTACGAGCTTTCGACTGCCTAAACTGCCGTTTTCTTTTCATATTTAATTTAGGCTTAGAGGAAACCTCTGAGATGAGATTTTCTTGTAAAGAATTTCTTCTCTTTTTTAGTATGAATCGAGGACGAGATGCGAGAAGTTACGAGAATTTTAAGCAAGAGCTGGCCTCTGTGTTTACTGATCTCAATGCGCTGATGTCCTCACGTCTTCCAGACATAACTTTAAAAGTACGTAGTAAACGTTGTTCACATCTTACTACCGACATAGTCTCAAAGTGAAAGGAGAAGTGTTCTCCAGGAACAAGATGGTTTTTATCACATTACTTAAAATCTACCCACAGCAATGTTTTGCCAGGGGTATATAATTTCGCAACCAAGATGTTTTGCCGTTGAAAGTAGAAGCTAATTCATTTATTTTAATTATCTTTCCTCAACAGTCTTTAGCAATGGCGAATTTTTCAGGAATTTATCAAGACTCTTTGAAAGTATTTAGCTTTGAAGAATTGAGGTAACAAAATGGTTTTTTGTTATGTTGAGTCAGATATTTTACTCAAGTTTGCTCGTGGAAGGAAAGGACCTTTGCAAACAGAGCAACCTCTGACTTATCCCTAGTGTAATTTTGTTCTTTTTGCATATTTTTCTCCTTAGTACCATTGCAAAGGATTTTCTTCTCAGTGCAGCAAAGGATCAGAAAGCGCTGAACAGTAGCAGAATGCAGTTTATTGATGCAACAGTAAAGAGTGAGCTCTTTGTGCACAAAGGTAACAGTTATTTTCATAAGCATTGTTGTTACAAAACTTGACATCCCACTCCTCAGCCGATGTTGTATTATCATAAGGTAACCTTTATGTGAAATAGAGTAATTAACGTACAATATATCAGTAAGTTGTATTAGCTATTTAATCCGCCCACAAATTTCCGAACGACTTAACTGCAAATCCGGTCTACCAGCAGGCAATGAATTGGTTTGTTTCTATTCCTAAAGAATCAAGAACAATCTTGATGCCAGTTCTTGTGGCTACTATTCAACAACAACTGATACAAAAGCAAGATATGAGAAAATGTGCCGAAATAGTGGGATCAATTCTCACCTCCCTGCACACAAAAGCAGCGGTAAGTTAATTACAAGTATTGAATAATACTATTACGAAGACTCCATCGATTCCTCCCTAGACTCGTGAGGGAAAGGCAAAACTAGTGCTTTAAGACGAACAGACAATAGCAAATATTGGATGAGGCTAAGCGAAATTTTGTTATTTGTCAGTTGGTCTGCGCGCCTAAGATAAATCACGATATTTTGCACTTGCTGAGTTCAATAACCATGATTACCTGTAACCTAACACAGTCATCATGCATGAGAAGACCATTACGTGTAGGAGGTTATATGCAGGTCACGTTGCGAGCCCACGGTCAATGAAAAGGAAGAGAAAAATTTCATCGAATGGCAAAAGCAATAAATTGATCAGGAAACGAAAAAGTTACATCAGCGAGCTTGCTTAAAAACTCGTTTGTAACTCAGAAAATAGCTGAAAGAATGCCCGAGTTGTTGTTTCGACCCAAAATTCACTCCTTCCATCCATGACTTCATCACTCCTTCCTTCCATTCCTGTTAACGTTTCTGAATCTGGGGATAGACATGGTTGATCGCAAACTACTCTCTGTCCTCCGAAAAGATCTTCGCTCATGTCCGTGGCTTATTCACCCTTTAACTCCCAGAAATGATTCACATGAAACGTCTCCCTTTAATTTCCATATATTATCCAGCAAACAGGTAATGAGAGTACTCAAACTTATCAGGTAGAAGTTCTTATCCTGATCTAACACCAAATTCTCATAGCTAATTTGTAAGGAAATGTGCAGCAGCTAGAGAGGAGAATTTACAGTCAGATCGTGAGAGTTAAAAGGTTAACACGATTGTTTTTAATATCTATTCTTTTAGCAAGGAAGCGACGTTGATCACCGCAAAAAAGATGATTTTATATACTTTTAAGCATTTTATTTTCTGGTATTATTATTATTTCAGTTAGGCTCTTGTAAATCTCATTTTTTTGCATGTATATATATTGTTTTCTCCCTGTGCAAAGATTTTATTCTTTTGTTAATATCTTTTGTGTTTGTCAAATTTTGATTGTGTATAGTAGGTCCACATCAGCCCTTCGGCTGCTAAACAATCTCAACCTACTTATCAAATAAAGTTTACCCTACCTTTACCTTACCTCTAGGAAGGTGCAACTGAAGATGACGTTTATCTTGTGGTGAGAACCTTACTTCAACCTGTGTTCCAAGCGGTGATGACCGTAGACAGATCAAGTGAGCTTGCGGTAAGTTGACACGCAGAAAACTATTGGATAATTTCTTGCGGTAGGTTAACTCTGGTAAGATGTAAGTGGGACGTAAGATCTGCTCAAGGCAGAAATGATTTAAATTACACTTGCTCCAATCGAATGGTGTCATTTGTTTTGGTTTACATATTTTTTCTTAACATCACTCGTTTTCTTTTTACTTTCAGAGGCATCTTCTGGCTGTATTAACAAACCTGTTGCTGATTATGAAAGAGAAACATTACAGTCGGTATCTGAAGGAGTTCAAGGACAACAAAGAACTCAAAGATTTCCTGGTGAATGTCTTTGTTGTGTTCATTGAAATTGTAAAGCGAGGAATCTTCCTCAGGGACTGGATTGTAATCATTATCTTGGGGAACAGGTGAGCAGTGTCATCATCATCATCTTCAAATAAAGAAATTTATCGCACGTTGGGTATAATGCAACCGTTAAAGAAATCCTCTTTGTATTCAGAAAAGTTGCATTTTAGATCCCGCCATACGATTGGTTAATTTATACCACGTGGTATAAACTCCTTCAACCTGATTGGCTATGTCCCATAGTGCCCCCCCCTATACCAATGTTGATTGTGAGTCAACGCCGAAATCACATCTTTAGGGAAAGATCAAGGGACATTTCCAAGCAAGGACAGTGTCCCTAATTTTCTGTTTATCTTCTCGTTCTTTAGCTCGCCAACAGATTCATGTGTAGTGTTCTTTTCTTCCATATTCCTCGTTTTCCTAGTGTATTCCTAGTGTAGTGAGGGCCATTAGTTCATCAGTTGAATTACTGTCGTGTGTTACCCTCCTTAAATAAGGTCGTTATTACTATTATTATTATTATTATTATTATTATTATTATTATTATTATTCCTCCTCTGACAAAATTCAACCCGATTCCCCAATAACATTTCAAAACTGTTTTTTTTTCTTTTTTCAGTGTGATTCTGAGGGCTACTCAGAACTTTTCACAAGCCCTGATTGATAACTTTTCAGGAGACAACTTCGACTATCAGGTGAGAGCTGTAGGACTGACGCATAGCTCGTTTATTTTTTAGTTTTATCTTTACTAATATTTTTTTATTACCTTTATTTTCACAGTTGTGGAATCACTACTTTAATCTAGCGGTGTCTTTCCTTACTCAATCTCACCTTCAACTGGAAAACTTCACTGAAGTCAAGAGGAACAAGATCATCGACAGGTCAGTGTTTTCACATGACTTGCCGTGCTCTATTTGTATAGTTTCTATTCATTTCAGCGTTATGGCGTTTTAGTACTAAATATATACGAAAGGCTGTAATAGTTCCCGTTTCTCATTTCGTAGGTTTTCAACCAAAGAAATGCATATTGTTCATTTATTTCAATTCGTAACATAAAGAACATAGTAGGCATCGTCTGATTGGTCAACTCAGTTTTCAAGCGGATGCTTTATCAGGTTTTAGAGCGCGCATTTGATCGGTGACAACTAGTTATGTCATAAAAGCAACAGAACACATTTTCCCGGGCTCTATTGAAACAATAGAGTGTTTCTGTCGAGGAACTATCGGCTGATAGTTGCCCCGCGGAAATTTGATGTTCTTAAAACAAATATGCTATTTTTAAGAACATCAAATTTCCAAGTGGCAACTATCAGACCGATAGTTCCGAGACATAAACACTCTATTGTTTTCATTGTTCACCACTAAATTTTCTTCCGCGCCAACAGCTTGTCACAAATGTCAATAATTCGCAACCGTACATTGGCTAAATAATACGTTATACCTGTCAGAATTGAAAAGTCACTGTTTTTCTGATCTGCCTAACTTCGCGGCCGTCAAACTATTCAAAACTTTTCACGGACGAGTACCATCAATCCAGGTATTTTCCGCGGACGGGCACTATCCATCCGGGTATTTTCCGCGGGCGGGCACTATGGGCTGATAGTGTCTCTCCACGGATGAACACTATCGCGTCACGTGATCGATTTAAACCAATAAGAACCGGAGAAAGTTTAGTGGGGAACTATAAAACGTGATAAAGCCTCTTGGGATGTAGGGAGAACATGAGGAGAGCTTATAAATCACGAGCCGAAGGCATCCCAAGTGGCTTTATCACGTTATAGAGCCCGAAAAATATGTTCTATTCCTTAAACATGTGGCGAAAATTAGAAGAAAATGATGACTTCCATTTTAACACCACAGAAATATTCTAACTAGCCCTCTTTCTCTTTTAAGCTCCCATCTCCAATAAGCCCGCCTCTCCCAACTCTTGCACGGAATCCCCTGAAATAAGTGAGGCCCCGGTGGGGGACGAGGATGTTTACAGTGCATAATATGTGTTAAGCTAAACTTATTTGATACTCTAGTAAATATATTTCTGTTTTCTTTCATTGTCAGGTACGGTGACATGAGGCAGGTGATGGGGTTTGAGATTGTTCAGATGTGGCAGAGTCTTGGTAAGTTTTGTGATCTTGAAATGAAGTGTGACCTGATACACAGCTTCGTAACACAGGCCAAAAAAAGCGAAGACCACGAAACAATTGACTTAAACACGAAGGCGCGCTATATAAGGAAGACTTCCCTGTGAAGACCTGCGCTCATTTGTCACTCACCGTTGACGTGTGCGGGTCAAATTTGAATGCTGGTAGACGAACAAAAGGAATTTACTTCCACCATCATGGTGGCATGAGGTAACGTGCGAACCACCTACTTCGATCTCAAATTTACCGGTTCAGATAAAGACAGTTTCCATTGGAGAAAGGAAATACAAATCTCAAAAATTCTTGTATTGTAATGAAGACATAAAACAATTTTGAGGAATGCGCCCGCTGTTCACTGCTTTGGAGTAGCTGTAGCTCAAGCTGACTTGACTCTAAGAGTTCTACATCACACGACGGTTGATTGACAAATGGTCCAGTGGGAACTAAGGCTCCTTTTANGGATGAGTACCATCAATCCAGGTATTTTCCGCGGACGGGCACTATCCATCCGGGTATTTTCCGCGGGCGGGCACTATGGGCTGATAGTGTCTCTCCACGGATGAACACTATCGCGTCACGTGATCGATTTAAACCAATAAGAACCGGAGAAAGTTTAGTGGGGAACTATAAAACGTGATAAAGCCTCTTGGGATGTAGGGAGAACATGAGGAGAGCTTATAAATCACGAGCCGAAGGCATCCCAAGTGGCTTTATCACGTTATAGAGCCCGAAAAATATGTTCTATTCCTTAAACATGTGGCGAAAATTAGAAGAAAATGATGACTTCCATTTTAACACCACAGAAATATTCTAACTAGCCCTCTTTCTCTTTTAAGCTCCCATCTCCAATAAGCTCGCCTCTCCCAACTCTTGCACGGAGTCCCCTGAAATAAGTGAGGCCCCGGTGGGGGACGAGGATGTTTACAGTGCATAATATGTGTTAAGCTAAACTTATTTGATACTCTAGTAAATATATTTCTGTTTTCTTTCATTGTCAGGTACGGTGACATGAGGCAGGTGATGGGGTTTGAGATTGTTCAGATGTGGCAGAGTCTTGGTAAGTTTTGTGATCTTGAAATGAAGTGTGACCTGATACACAGCTTCGTAACACAGGCCAAAAAAAGCGAAGACCACGAAACAATTGACTTAAACACGAAGGCGCGCTATATAAGGAAGACTTCCCTGTGAAGACCTGCGCTCATTTGTCACTCACCGTTGACGTGTGCGGGTCAAATTTGAATGCTGGTAGACGAACAAAAGGAATTTACTTCCACCATCATGGTGGCATGAGGTAACGTGCGAACCACCTACTTCGATCTCAAATTTACCGGTTCAGATAAAGACAGTTTCCATTGGAGAAAGGAAATACAAATCTCAAAAATTCTTGTATTGTAATGAAGACATAAAACAATTTTGAGGAATGCGCTTGCTGTTCACTGCTTTGGAGTAGCTGTAGCTCAAGCTGACTTGACTCTAAGAGTTCTACATCACACGACGGTTGATTGACAAATGGTCCAGTGGGAACTAAGGCTCCTTTTATAGCGCGCCTTCGTGTTTAAACACAATTTGCATGGAAATATTTATCATATACGATACTATCTGGGTAGTATTAGTCATACCTGTTGTTTGGTGTGTCACGCAATACCTCGTCTTGACGCAATGTTGCGTAACGTGACTAAACAAAAGCTGCAAAGCACCAGATTGTCATGCGGGAGGCGCGGGACCAATTCTCAAGGTCTCAGAATAACTGAAGAAAATGTACCGCCTTTGCGATGACTTTCGCAGATGGTTAGATATTGTAGTCTTCTGGGATAAACCGAACGTCCCATGTTCAGCATGGCTATGGTCAGCAGTGTATGATAAAGAACCTGCGTACGCATCAAAAAGATTATTACTAGTGCACAAAGCTCTTTGTGTCGTCGTCTGGTCTTGTGTCGCACGTGGTGGTGCCTTGCACTCGTTGGTCCTCTAGTGGTCGAACTTTACTGTGCAATGCTAACATTGTGGTAAATAAAATTAGTTTTTGTCTTAACAGACGAAGAACCGTCTTGTGGTGACTTGCCTGCAGGTTCTAAGTAACTGACTGAAAGAAAGTAAAAGCAAGTGTCAGCCGTGTCTTTACGGCAGGGAGTTGGCGCTAAAAACACGGAATTCCTGTTTGAGCTCATATGATAGTTCAGCTATTTATCGTTGACTACCTTTTCTGTTGGAAACGTCTTTGAATTTCGTCACGTAATCATTTGACAGGTTCCTTTCAGAAGCATTTCATGCTGAGCATGGTTTGTCCTTTCTTGGAAATGACTCTGGTTCCTGAGACAGGTTAGGCAGACTATTTTTTCCTTTGCAAACCGAATTGATTGTGCAGAAATGTTTTCCTCGATGTCAATTTGTTTTTTAACGAAGGAAAACGAGTACAGTTTTATTTTTAGGACAACCTCATAAAAGAGAATGAAGCTAAACAGAAATTGTCCTAAAATTACTAAGTCTGTCCACAGATTTAACAAATGGTAAACACCACAGCGTACACTATCATTAATTGACCAATCAGAGCGCGCGCTTTACTTTGGTTATGTTATAATTTGATTTCGCTCTCAGATCATTGTTCAGTTCGCGAGAAGAACCTGGAGCAGCGGAGAAGTGAACGAACACTTGTTTTCGCACTCCGCAGTAGTTCTCCCGCACTCGCTTTGCGATTACTCGTTTCGATATGAAAAGACGGCTGAGAAATGACCCAAGACTAAAAGCCGTGCACATATATGAAGGTTTCAAGCATGATATTAATTATTTTGATGTAGAAATATTGATAGTATGTTCACTGCATTACATAAGGGAAATACAAAATTTGTCAACTGGTGAATGGAACTGGAGGTATTAGCGGCTTGATTTGTGTCACTTAGTCTATTTCGACCAAATGTGCCTAGAAAAAAAAATTCAAAGACGGACGAATGATGTTGATTTATTTGTCGTTTGTTTCTTGGCTCCGTATTAAAACATATGTCTACCTATTTGTTTAAATCGTCTTGTTTTGTTTTGTTTTGTTTTCTCTGTATTTTTCAGAATTACGTAAAGCTACGTTACCTATATTTTTTGACATGGTTGAATGTGAACTCAATTCCAAAGGCGTGGCCACCATGGTATGATAAGTGATTTTCGACAACAATAACGTTTTAGGTTATTTACAAGAGTTTTACTTACTGTCACAGAAACAGAAAATAATGAGATTAAAGTGTCTTTCATTTTCACGACCGTCCAGACTAAGGGCATTGTTTATGAAATATACGAAAATAACAGATTTCAAATGAAACTTAGCACTACTTAACCCTACTTAGTTCCCTACAGACCTGAATTTTTTTCACTACTACCCAAGTAGTGTACAACGAATTTACCAAGTTCAGAACAAAAAAATCTCCTTAAGCAACGGTTTTGTGACTTGCGCAGTGTGGTATTTGGATAACTGACATCCTGTTGTGTTTTCCTTTTTGTTTTGCATTAAGGTGGAAACCAAAATTGTAAACGAACTCGATCGACTTGTCAGTGTGGATAAGAAAGGCGACAGGGAATACAAGAAACTCTTCAAACAAATGTAAGGCACCAAACTTCGGGCAAGTTTTCAAACAATTTTTAGCTGTAGTTCTAGACCATCTCCAGTTATCCCAAACGTTTTATCTAAGCATTGATGCTTGGGCAAGTTTTCAAACAATTTTTAGCTGTAGTTCTAGACCATCTCCAGTTATCCCAAACGTTTTATCTAAGCATTGATGCTTGTGGATAGTGTGGATAGTGTGGATAGTGTGGATAGTGTGGATAGTGTGGATAGTGTGGATAGTTGGGATAGTTGGGAAAATTAGGATAGTGGAGAACGTGGGGAGAGTGAGGAGAGTGGGGAGAGTAGGTAGCGGTAATATTGTTAAAAACAGAGAAAAAAGTAACAACGGTATAAGAGTAATGAATAAAGAAAAAGGACGAAGAAAANTTATCATGCTAAGTAGATACAGGTCTCTATCACAACAGGGTCACCCTTAGCCGCACTCCTGTTCAAAGGCTTAGCCACCAAGCCCACAACTGTAAAAAGGACTATTGCAATATATCGGATGGAAGAATATAGAGAGTCGTCAATTTACTTATGACCCATGAGTCGTTCTTGGAATTGAAAGCAATACTCGTCGGTATTTCATTTCCTCGACAGGAGGGTGTCCGGTCAAGATGATAGAGAACAGAAAATGAGCTGTCTTGTAAATCTGCTGGTAAGAAACTAACAATAGTTGAGCTACATCGGGAAAGCTGGTAAGAAGATCCTTCAGCTGTATTAGTTCGCTTGTACTGTAGTTTTATCTAAAGGATGCAGGGAAGATGAGCTGTTTAAAACATGAACTGCTTCAACAACCGAGAGCTTGTTAGTTGCGTTCGGGCGAAAACCTTCCACCAACTCTCTATTTTTAATTAACAAATGATAAACACCACAGCGTACACTATCATTAATTGACCAATCAGAGCGCGCGCTTTACTTTGGTTATGTTATAAACCTTTACGGGAAGGACGGTGCATGATCAGCTTCCTTCACGCTTTCAATTAAGGCGCGAAACAAAGTGCCAACAAAGGAAGGCTGTTTTTTTTTTTCTTGCCTACTCGCTACTGTTTCCGTCCCACTACAATTTCCCAGTCGATTGCTTGTAATAAGCCATGAGAAATACCCCAAGATTTAGTTCACGACTTAGAGAGAAAAAGCGAGTGAAGCGTCCCAAAGACGTTTCTCTGTGCAACACGACAAAGCCCTATTTCCTAAACTCATTTTAAAAAGGAAAAAAATCGCCCTCCATTCCAAGCAATAAACCAAGTTGGTGGTGTTTCCAATTTCAGGAATTTTACCAGAAGATTGGTCGTGAAGACATGTATATTAGGTGAGTATATCTTGCATACGTCACTAAGATATCTTGAACGATGTTCTCATAAAGGGCTGGCGCGCGAAATTGTCAGCTATAGAAATTCTTTGCATTGGCAAATTTACGTTATCAACTCAGTTGATAAAACCAAATTATCTTGTAATACCCCCACCGACGCAGCACCACAGTTTCTTTCGAAACGTACCCCCTTTAAAACCTGTATCAGCTAAGACCTTTCTTCCTTTGTAGTGGATTTTTTGAAGTGGTAAACGAATCCGCATTTTTGTGGTTCTCTCGAACTTGATTATTTCATAGCAATGTCTTGGCCTTCCAAATAATCGCCCAAGTTTGCTTTCAACTGTCTTTGAAACTAAGTTCTTTCATTTTCGTGCAGGTGTATAAACAGACTTTGTGATCTTCACATTGCGATAGAGAACTTCACAGAAGCTGGTTTTACCGTCTTGAAACACGCTGAGTTACTTAAGGTGATGAAAAGAGTTTTAAAAAAACCCTAGTAGAGCAGTCTTCGATTGAGTGTCGACAGTAATCAGCAATATTTCTGGCTTTGCTTTAATTAATTTGTCATTTGCTATTGAAACACGAGCGAACTTGTCAACCGATCACTGATGTGTAACACTTACGCCAACAGTGACTGAACCACCTGTGTTTTGGCGCCCTTCAAGCCGTTCACTTGTAAAAAGCCTAGATTGGCTCTTTGTAATATTTGCCTTTAATCTTATTGGCTGTTCTTATTGCTGTGGATGTGGTTTTGTGACAACCAGTAAAAAAAGCACTTAATGACGAGGCTCAATTAAGGAACTAAAAGGGTAACTGGCTTTTCTTACATGTTGCTGTTGTTGTTGTTGTTGTTTTTAATTCTAACATTTGTCCTTGCTTCCACTAGTGGCCTGAGACGCTACCTGAAGATTCCCCCGACACTTTAAAAGACTTCCAGCTCAAGGAAAAGTTATATTTAGACGCTATTGACTTCCTGGACAAAGGAAAGGTATATAAACACATGGTGAAATTCGACTAGTTGACTACAAACGGTAAACCCAGGTCTGCTCACAAGCACTCAAAAACCCGTGCTCTTCACTTAATCTGTGTCCAACAGAAGATGTACATTTTTACATTCTACTTTTAACTGTTCCCACAGTGAGTCGTGAAGGCTGTAAACTTCGTTTACATTTCATTCGTAATAAAATATTAACAATACTCTTCGTAGTACATCAGTTTGCATTTCACAATGTTTTCCAAAATAGAAGTTTTTTTTTGCTCTTAGGGACACGACACTTCAGTCGCTTACAATAGCACCTTGGCTCAGGTCTTTTGTTCTGTAAAGAGTCACTTTGTCTGTATTTTGTTTCCTCTCAGACGTGGGAGAAGGCGATTGAACTGTGCAAAGAGTTGACGGAACAATATGAGTTGCTGTTGTGCGATTACGTTAAACTTGGGGACATTTTGGTGAGTAACCATTTATTCATTAATTATTATGATTATAAAGTCCTGTTGTTTGTCTTACGATGTAGTCACCAGGCGCGTAACGTGGTCATTTTTTCAAGTACGCACAAGTACATATGATCTAGAAACCAAAGTAAACTGAGCGAAAAATACTACGTTCTTTATTTCTTTTTGAAATAGTTGTGTGAATACAAGCAAGGAACAAAGCGTCTTGCCCTTATTTTGAGCAAACTTGGCGCAAACACAACACTGTTTTCAAATTTTTCTGGTCACTTCAAGTACGCACGTGCGTATATGCGTAGAGGACGCTACGCGCCTGGTCACTGCCGATGTGGATGGCGATGTTTCGACTTATGCTGTAAGTGTGTCATTCAGTGGGACTGACTGTGCTGACATGTCACTTAATGCTCCGCTGTGATTGGATTGTTTTCAACAGACGTGATTGGTGCATTTCGATCACGTGCAATATTCTCGATGCATTCCGCATTATTGCAAAATAAGAAGATTCAATAAAAAACAATATGAACTACTCTCTTAAAGAGGCTGGATATAGTTTTTCACTTTTCTGATGCAAGATCTTTAAACTAAAGTTACGAAGCTTAGCTTTAACGAATCGCGATCACGTTTTCCCCTGAAATAAAGATATTATTGAAGAATCAGTTTGTTGTAAATATAATGAAAAATTCGTTGCCATGGCAACGTTGCTGGCTTGCAATGTTGGGTCCAAAATAGACTTGACTTGAATTTTCTTAAAAACTGGATGGTGAATTTATTTTAGATTTTGCATGCGTCCTTTGACTGTCTTGGTCTGCTTGACTGTTAAGTTTAAAAAAATTCTGTCAGAAAGTTTAAGGAAAAGAGGCCTTTTTTAGAATTCATCGTTAACTTTTTTTCCCTCTGACAGAATTTTTTTGAATTTTTGTAAGACACGCGCAGCGCCGTTCAAAGTTAACGTGCAAAAAATTAAAAAAAATTCACCGAGCGGAAACGGAAATAGGTAAGTCTAACGTTTCAAATTTCCGAAAATTTGGACTCGACAAGATGGGCAATTGCGCATGCGCAACATTTGTGTCACGCCACGACACTTGCCACGGACGCCACAAGGTTTTGGACCCCTTCTTCGCCGAACGTCCTTCGCGCTCTTCTACTGACCTTTATTTTGCTAAGAGAGGTTCACCTTCTGGGTGGATTGCGCCTGGAAATGGCTGCTGCTCTATTTTCCTGCAAAGTGCTGGATTATTTTGTGCAAAGTGTAGGGATATTTTTTTCCTCTTGGAGCTGATTGACGCGATGTGGTTGACGATTTGCTAAGAATGGAGACCAGTGCTTCCTTCCCACCGTTGTTGTAAAGATCTTTTAAGTCATCGTAACACATACCGCTTTCTGCAATTTTCTGAATGATGTTTTCTTTTATGACGAACCCGTTATCGCCCTGTGAATGGAGCTTGTCTTTGAAAGTTTACATGCGTTCGTGGCGTCCGTCAAGAAAGTCTATGTCTACGAAAGCGAAGGAAGCGGATTTCACATGCTCTTGTTTACAATGTCAGCACTTGTTAGGTGCAACGGGGATTGAAAGAGGACACAGTGGATAGCACGTACATCTTCCAAAGCATCGTCTGCGTTGAAATCTTCATAAAAAACAGCTTGATACACAGAAGGGAGATTGCTTTTACATGGTTTTCCGTCAGGATTGAGAAGAGCGTTACCATCTTTAGCGAATGTTTTGATGAGTGTAAGGCTATCGGCGAAAAATACTTTCTTCGACGATAATGTTTCTTTATTTGAATTTCCAGCACATCGTAGGAGTGTCGAGACCTGAAGAATTATGGCCAATTAAAACGGTGTGACAATGCGTACTGCTGGAAAGGAAAGTGGTAATAGATTGAAGACATTCGCTCAGGAGTGTACTGGAACATTCTCTTTGAGCAAAGTCCTCACAGGATTCACAGTTTTGACAGTGACTTGTTTACACGAGAAGCTTAGCTGCTGATATTGCATGTAGGCAGCACCTATTTAGTGTTCCGGAAACCAGCCACGATATGGGTAAATAGCTCCGACGATCGCGATCGTGTTCGCGGCCGGATTCACGCGTATTTTGGTCACTTTAGAATGTTGCAGCGTTCCGTTTTTGAAACACACTACTAATAAAGTTAGAAGAAAGTGTAGGCAGCCTACCTAGAGACGTAAAACATAGTCTACTAGGCAGATGAAAAAATGATTCTGACCTAACCGCGGCGGCCATGTTTGTTTGTTTGTGTTTTTTTTGCAACTTTTAAAAGTCCCGTGTAAACTAGAACCCAGTCTGCGCACGCCAAAGAAGCTATATCCAGCCTCCCTAAATGATAATTCATCTTTGTGAACTTTGTTGTTTTTATTTAAATAGAAAAAACAGGCCAAGTTCTTCGACAACATCATGACCCAGGTTCGGGCGGAATCTGAATACTTTAGAGTCGGATTCTACGGCAAAGGCTTTCCATCATCAGTAAGGGTGAGAAAACCCGTTTAATGTTTGTAGTTTAGTTACAAATTAACTCCAAATGATCAAGAGATGCTCAGTAATTATTCCTTGGAACAGCTCATCCCGCTAGGCTTTCATTGTTATTTTGTTGAGACAATTCGGTGTTCTATCAAGATGATGTCCTCTACCCGATTCGTTTAACTCGTTTCCTTTTTGCTGAATGATGTATCAATATTGTCAAGAGAAGTTGTATTTTAATCATGATTTGGAGGGCCAAAATATTAAATCTGTTTGCAAATCTGCTACAGAAATGTTTCTGAGAAGCCACCTTTCCCCTATACTTTCCTCTCACCCCTTACTGAAGAACGCGAGGAAGGGTTAACGGGAAAAAAAACTATGCACGGTGTTGTTTGATAATTTCGTGATTTTGTTTTTTCTCTTCAGAATGAGGCTTTTGTTTACCGAGGTCATGAATACGAGAGAATCGGCTCCTTTAACCAGAGACTGAAGGCACAGTTCCCTGATGCTCAGGTAGGTGCTTGCTTGCTTTGATAAGTTTGGTAGAGTGAACGTATGGAAGAAAATATCCTTTATTACTGACAGGATTTCCCAATCTCCCACGCGTAGTTCCCATACGTTGCATGTTGACCGTATCGCACCTAAACCGCAAACCCTTAAGTTTATACACTTTTCGGGGCGCTGAATAACAAAATTGAATACCCTGTTAAATATTTATGATCCCAAAAACTATACCATGTTTTGCAGCCCATATCTGCTCACCCTCGACCTTTTAACATGGTATTTAATTTTTTCCACACAGTTCTCTTTAAATTAACAATACCTCTAGTACTGACAAAGATAATTTGTTTGACAGTCGTGAGCTTCCTAAATTGGTGATGATTTCCTTTATTCTCACGACCTTTATGTTTGATTCAAGGCGTGATATTGTAAGGAGAAATTAGAAGCCAGTCACTGTTAGGGGTGAAAGAGTTAGGGCACTTTATTCACATTTTGAGAACGTGTTCGTGTTGAGCCCATCTGAGGGCAGAAGTTTTCAAAGTCGTTTGGTTTTCATGGCATTGTATCATTTGGTCTCTGTTTCAGATGATGGACAAAAATACACCGCCAGAGGACGACATCTTGGAGTCTGACAAGCAATGTATGCTCTGATTTATGGTTCAGTGAATGATAAATACAAATTAATCCAGTTTATAACCAACAGCAGTGATTTGATAACAGTGTTTACATGGATGTCACTTAGCTAGCGAGTAGGTCCTTATTATGAGCCCTGGGGCAGGGGCATTCCTTCATTTGCGAGAGTGGGCGAAGCCTTAAGCAAAGCGAGCTGGCGAGAGGTCAACGGGGGTCTCAAACTATTGCTGGACCCTTGCAGACCTCTTGCTTTCTCGCTTGTGCAAGGCCTCGAAATTTCTCATGGGCGAAATAGTGAGGGCCTGGTAACAAGCTTGACATAAAAACTTCACTTGGGATGGATGAAGCCCGGTATTGTTTTGAACTTGTTACCTTGACTATTTCCAGATTTGCAGTGTTGCCGAGTGATTCCTATCTCAGAACACGAAGCACGTTTCGCTGGCAAAGTCGTCGATGATAAAATTTCAGGGTGAGTGCGTTGATTTAGTATCTTCTATATAAAGCAAGGCTCATTGCGAAAACTTTCAATCATCAAACTATCGCTCAATACCGCCCAGCGCAGATATCGACAAAAATGAGACAACCAGCACAAACTGCAACCTCACAATTGCCCATTGCAGAAACGTGAGAGGACTGGGAAAGAGTGTGGTTGTTTTCCGTTTGTTTGAAAAACTAAGATATTCAAATGAAAGATCAACTAAATTTGAGAGTCTTAAGCAAGAATAGAAATATTTAGAGGAGGAAAATGGCAAAATGACAGCTCTTCAAATGTCACCTAAAATAGAGAGTTTGTATGGATTGGGTAGACAGGCCTAAAAATTTTAAGGGTTTCTATGGAAGTTTTGCAACTTTTACAAGGTTCCGGTTTGGACACTTCTCCGCTGAAAACTCTCAAACTGGACTGGGTAGCTTTTCATTCAGTAACATTTCGGTTGAAATGTTCAGATTTTCAATGTAATCAATATAAGAAACTCGTCCCAGTCCTCTCACGTTTCTGCAATGGGCTATGGAACTACTACTGTATACAACTGAATTTCGTCAATTGTGCAAGGATGAAACTATGGTGTTCAGTAGATCTTGAGCGCTTAGTCAAGACACTTTTTATCGAAAGTTCCGCAGGCGTATCCATTCTGTTTGCGGTCTACTGGTTGGGAGAACCATGCTGTCTTCCAATCATTTCGTCACAATGGAGAATAGCAAGAAAAGAAAAGGGCATTAGAGAGATTTCGGACTAGAAAATTTTGTTTTTGGATTAAGGTCTACCCCACTCGTTTTGTGGTTGTATTAACCGAATGAGTTCCACATCTTTAGCTGCGGCGTCTATCCGAGTGTATTGCTCGATAGATTAGAAACGGTTTGTAAATTATAGGAACAAAATAACGAGGTTGCAGGAAGAGTTCTCATTCCACAGGATTGCTTTGGCTCCTTAACATGGCTGCTATCGTGTTGTTTTGTTAAACCAATATGGTGGCCGTGAAGTCATGTGTAAACGCCTAATTCACGATTTGATTGATTCATTTGATTTTGAAGTTATTACCGGGTGAACGATGTCAGAAGATTCACCAACTCAAGACCTTTGCGTCCAGGTTCGGAGGACTTTGCGGTAAGAGACATAACTGTACACTACTACTTTGTGTTTTTCTGCAGGAGTTGCAGCACTTTACAATGTGTGTCGTAATCTTTGTGATTTTCTTGTTCTAGAACTTATGGTTAGAAAGAACGACCTATACGATCGGTTCACCTCTGCCTGGAATTCTTCGATGGTTTCAAATCACATCTTCAGAAAGCGTAAGTGTTGTGGCGACAACGGGCTGCGTTGTGCTCGTAAGGTACTTTATCTATTTTAAACGATGCACTGCTCTACAAAGACAAGCAAAAAATTAAGAGATAAGATTTGATATATTGTTTGTTCCAACAACGTGGAAGGTTCGATGGCTAGGTGGTCAGCGCGCTAGACTCTGGGTCGAGAAGTCTGGGTTTGAGCTCTGATCGTGTCTTCGGGTTGTGTTCTTGGGCGAGACACTTAACTCTTTCAAATTTCGTGGTATACCCAGGAGAATAAACGGGTATCCACAAACTGTCAGAGAACCCTTGCAATACACAGGGGGTGGCCCGGTGATGGGTTATCATGCCATTCATGGCAGAAAAAATATATATCTGGTCTCTTTATGCCACAGAAACCGGGTTAATCTGCAGTAGTTATTGGAGACCTGCCCTCAATTTCGTTACCTATTCCATACTTCAAAAATGAAAGCTAATCCAATATTAATGAAATGGACTTTTAGTCGCTGGAAGACGAAAGAGCAATAATATTTTTTCTTATAATTTGAAGCCACATGGGTTTTAGAAAGTACTCAATTACTGGGTTTGTCTCGTGTTGGAAAAGTCAATACAACCTCGGTACTCGTGTGAAAGACAATCGTGTTCCTTTTCCAAAAATATGTTTTCTAATTTTTTTTTTCAATATGATTTGACCTTTCCCATGCCTTTTCAGGTTGAAATCAGCCCCCTTCTCAATGCAGTTGAAACTGTGGAATCCAAGAATAGAGAGCTCGATAGGATCATCACTAATCTGTCCTCAGATAGGAGTCAGAGTATCAACCCGCTGAGCATGATACTCAACGGTATCATCGATGCTGCTGTGATGGGAGGTATAGCCAAGTATGAAGAGGTACGTTGAAAAATTGTCCGTTTTAGATACAGTTAGATTAGGGCATTTAACAGGTGCGTGCTCGAATGCCAAGCCTTTGAACAGGAGTGAGTTTAAGGGTGACCTTACTATGAAGCAAAGGTAGCTGCTTTTCAAATGTAAATTACTATTGTTATCGTGCTAACTCGATACTGGTCTCTCTCACGACAAGGTCACCTTCAGCCTCACTCCCCAATCAAAGACTTAGACACAGGACAGAAAAATTTTTAATAAGGTGATCTCACTGGGCTCGCACCCTCTTAAACACATCGTTCCTGAAGAGAAAAATACTGCATGCAAATCTACATAGGAAAAGGTGCTTTCGCCCCAAAGTTAATACCCAACGCTTCAAAATAGGTTAATTTTTAAATACGGTTTAGTTTAGTTTTAAATATATGATATCATAGGATATGTGTTGATATCTTTTGAACTGAAATAAAGACTATTATTAAGTACACAACTATAGAATGGTCCATTACAACAGACAGTGATTGTATCTTTCACGCGTGGACCTTTTGCCAAAACGATATTCTTATGCTTATTGCATTTGGTTGATCGGAAGATATGAAAATGATTGTGTCATATTTTCTCTTTAATGTGGTTATATCAACTAAGTTGAAATTGTAAAATGGCTACCGTAAAGAGTTAAAAAGTAGACATTTCGAGCGTTAGCCCATCGTCAGAGCGAATGGCGAAGGGCTAACGCTCGAAACGTTAGCTTTTTAACTCTTTACGGTGGCCAATTTACAATTTCAACTTAGTTGATATACCCAAATTACCTTGTTACTCTCACCGACGCAGCACCACAGTTTTTTTAGAAACTTTCACCCTTTAAATCTTATTTTTGTTAGGCATTTTTCGCTCCAGAATATTTAAAGAACAACTCAGGCGATATGCAACTCATCGACGAGCTAAAACGCGCCATAGAAAATCAGGTAAGGTTCATATGTTAAACGACGAAATCACGCAGAATACTACAAGGTTTTTTGTGTACCGCAATATTCCTCCGCCATTTATTGGCGTTTTCTACACTACACTGGATAAGTTGAAAATGAATCTGTCACCGGCTATGGAAACGCTCTACGTCCTCTACTGCATCAATAGGCATGCGCAGAATAAGTGCCTAACTATCTCGCCGAGAATGGAAAGAGCTGTGATGCCAGCGTTTTCGATTAGCTCAGATTTCTTTATGGTTTGCTGTAATCAGTAGGCCTAACGGTTTAAAAAGTTATGTTTTTTGGTGGGCAGTCAATCTGTGCTAGTGTGTAGGGTAGGCCTAACCCAAGAAATAAAAGGGCGTGTTTAAATCTCACCTGCTTAGATTGGGACAAGGCTTGGTCAAAGATGTGGTTTGTAACTTTTTCCCTTCGTTTAGGTCAAGATCTTGGAAAGAGGTCTGAATCTTCACGATGAGTTAGCAACCAGGGACTTGAGACCGTTTCATAACAAGATGGAGACTTGTTTCGCCGACATGAAGGCTCGTGTCGCGGGGGAAGAGAGAAAGTCTGCCAGGCCGAAAGATCTCCAGGTTGGTTAAGCAAAGGATTTTAGGTGACACGGATGATTGAAGTCGTGAACGGAGAGAAACATAGGTGATATTCACAGGGAAGGGGTGGGTTAGGTGTTTTTTCTTTTTTGATTACATTAGTTGACAAATATCACAAGTTTTTTGGTAGTGGTTGGAAACTGTTCTCGCTTTGTAGCTTTGAATTTGTTTTTAATTTATATTCGTTGAAGCTATGATTTAATATTTATTTCCTAGATCCCGTTGCCGACAGGACCCGTGACTCAAGCGTCAACTTTAGGGTTTACAAAGGCAGTAAGAAAACAAAGCTTACCGGCGGATGTAGGCAGGGAGTAAGTGTATTCTCATGTCTCTTTTTTACCGGGGGATGTAGGCAGGGAGTAAGTGTATTCTCATGTCTCTTTTTTACCGGGGGATGTAGGCAGGGAGTAAGTGTATTCTCATGTCTCTTTTTTACCGGGGGATGTAGGCAGGGAGTAAGTGTATTCTCATGTCTCTTTTTTACCGGGGGATGTAGGCAGGGAGTAAGTGTATTCTCATGTCTCTTTTTTACCGGGGGATGTAGGCAGGGAGTAAGTGTATTCTCATGTCTCTTTTTTACCGGGGGATGTAGGCAGGGAGTAAGTGTATTCTCATGTCTCTTTTTTTAATGTCTCGGAGAAGGTACCGGAAACGACCTTTGTTGCAATTTACAGCGTCATTTGTCGAACCGCAAACTACCTGCAGCCTGACAGGGTTTACAAAATATTAAGTTGATTAAAAGTGGTAATGGAGCGTCCGTTTTAAGAAATTTTAAGTCTTCATTTGCTGGATCGCCCGAACAAGCCAATGTTAAAAAGTCTCTAACCTCTGCTTGGCTTCCTTGTCATATGTTTTTGGTATTTTCGAAAGATTGATCTTAACTGTTGTTATGCTTTTGTGGGTGGAGAAACTGCAAGGTTTTTACTCACAATACTTACCCTCGTTGGTTTTCTTTGACCAGAAGTGTTCCAGCAGCAGCGGCGGCGGGGACCACAGTAAAAATGAGGCGGTTAAGTGAGCATCAATCACGACAGAGCATGTGGTATGACAACGATGATATTCCGTCCAAAAAGGTACACTACTATTCACTGTTTCTCACTTTTGTCTCAAAATTACTCTTAATTGAAGCCTCGTTTGATATAATTTATCGAATGAAAATCGGTCAAAAAAAGTCGTTGCGTATGCTTGACGTTATTTTGCTGAAAACAAAACCTGAATCCTTAAGGTCAGCTTTCCTTCGAGGAGACCGTAGCTAATTAACCCCTCAAAATAAACGTTTTTGTCCCTTCACAACTTTAGAAACACGAGTAACTAAAGTTTTTGTTTTCCTTTTTCTGGCAGATGTCTGGTTCTAAATCTTTGGAGGCTCTTTCAGAAATAGATGAATTTTCGCCGCCAGTTCCAACAAAGAAAGGCTCCAAATCAGATCTTACTTCTGGGCACTCGCCTGAGACGGTCCGTAGAAGAACGGGTCTAAGTGAGAAACTTCAACAACGAAGTTCTTCCCCAGCGGGAATGTTAAGGACTGTACTCTCACCTCAAGCCAAGTATGTCCATCAACCGCATTAGTGTTAGAATGATTTTTAAATTGTTAATCCAAAACCAATGCTAACAAGGGAAGAACTAATTGAAGAAGTAACTTTTCAAAGTATATTCAAGTAGAGCCGGTTATCCATCAAGCAACTAAAACAATTTGTCTGAGAAGCTTCTTTGATTTCTCGTTTTCTTCTCAGTCCTTTTACATTTGCTTTACTAAGATAACGAATCCTTTGTTGGTCTTAGTCCTCTTTTAGTCCTCTTGTTTTATTTTACATTCCCTTTCAGTGGAGAAACTTCCCCCGCACTCCCCCCCAAGCGTAAAAGTGTCTTCCTTTCAAGTCCACAAGACGGCACCTCGCCAGTCGCTCCACCCCTTCCTACACGTACATCCGGTGGTCTGCCAGGAGATGGCGCTGTAAACGGAGCAGTTGCCAGGAACGAGCCCAAGGAAGCCCCTGCAGTTAGTGACGTCGATCTTCCCGCTTTACCTCCCAAGAAATCTGTGTCTAGAATGTCTCTGGATAGCGAACCAGGGTTTCAAGAAAAAGCAAAGGTAGGAAACAGGTTTTCTATTACGAACGTATAAAGCTAAATGTCTACTTTGAAAGGAAGGAAACAAGTTAGCGACAACTTGAATGATGAAGTCACTTTCTGATGCGTTTATTGCAGGTATTTAAGAAACCTGTGCAGTGTGGGTCTCTTGCTAATTGATTATTATTTTGTGGAATAACAGCAAATTGGCTCACAACAGCGTTTCTTAAACTGAATTTAAAAGCGGAAATTCTCGAATTGGCTCATCTACTAATTTCCAGTCTCATTGGTACTTGATATGGTGTGGTATTGTTGCTGTAGAATAGAGAGAAAAGTTTTCGGAGCAAGAAGAAGAAAAAAAAAAAAACATTGACCCCAGTCTACATGCGACGCCAGTGAAAGACTAGCGCCCCTATCACCGCGCCATAGAAAATGTAGAATATTCAAGTGTTGGCCTTATCTTTCTCCTGGCTGATTGTGTTCTGTCTTTTCTTTCATTCAAGCGCCCCGAGACTTTGGCGTTTGCTGTAGATGATTCAAACTCAGAACCTGTTCCTGTTCTGCCAGAGAAACGTAAAAGCTACGCCAGCACCACTTCCAGTCGAACCCCTTCTTCAGTTTTCTCTGATACAGCTTCAGATTTCTCGTCTCCAATGTCCCCTTCAGTGGCTTTCAAATCTCAAAAACATTTTCCTGATAAGCTCCTGGTTGGGTCGTCAACGCGAGATTCGCGCGGATCAACTCTTCCATCGGGGTCTACAAGCTCAACAGTATCTCTGGGCACTCCCCGTGCGGGGCCTTTCACAACTCCTAGGCCAAGTGTCAGTGGACCAAATAACTATAGTTACGTAACACCGCCAACGACACCGACTTCTCCACGAGTACCTTACGATTACGTTTCCTCGCCCAGTGAGTCGGTAGCTAGCTGGGTGTCAAACAGCACACAATATTTTTCAGCGTCTTCCTCCTTTGACAGCGACATCCTTTCCCCGGGAACTCCACCAAAGCGCCCATTAAACACGGATGCGCCGCCGCCCTTACCGTCATCCCTCCCACTAAATGTAGATCTCCTGGCAACGTCGCCCATGAAGGACGATTCTACATCTCCCCTTATTCCTTTCAAAGGAACTCAAGATTTCTCCTCATCCGTTGAAAAGATTGAAAGATTTTCATTTTTCGAAACGATGTCAACGGTGACGACTTCTACGGTGATGTCATCAACAGAGATGGAATCAGTTGACCAAACAGTGAAACCCCGTACCCCAGTCCCAGTCCCACGGAGGAACACGACGAACCCGTCGTCAGGTCAACCAGCGGGTTCGTTATCTGGATCATGCTCAGATGTTTCAGCTGGTAACAAAGGTCCACGGCTGGTAACTCCGCCCCCAATTAAGCCCCGAAGGACCACAAGTTTTTCATCAGATCAAGGTCCTAAATCCCCTCCTCCACCCAAACCGCCCAGACCTTCGCAGGCCAGGGAACCTCCACCAAAGCCCAAACCTTATGCTTCCAGGTCAGTGGATAACTCGCCGGTAGTTAAACGAAAAGCGGCCAGCGAGAGGATGCAAAACATTCCACCTGGAGAAAAGAATGGATCATGACCATTTCCATGTAAAGAGATTTAACTCAACCTGTCTTCCTCAATTTACTGGGAATAGTGGCGTCCTTACGTGGACTTACTACCTCGAATTCTTCGCTAGATGTCCTTAAAATTTAACATTTAGATTCGTTCAAGCAATTCCTTTGCTTTCGAAGGAAAACAGTTGAAAGTAACGCATCTTGAACAAACACGTACTTTTTCTAGTTCATTGCAACCTATCTACGATTATCATAGTTTGTATAACGCCGTTAGCTACGAAAATGGATGGGTCCTCCTCAGTTTTGTAAAAGGGTCGTTAATTACTGCACATAATGTACAGAGATAAATGGTTATTGACCACAAGATATCGCAGTATGTAACAAAATTAACTTTCATAACAAAAGTTGAGAAGCATTTCCTCACAATGAAATAGAAGAAATACCATAATTATACGTAATGTGACATTTGGCCCTGAATATAGGTTTTTTTTTTTTACTTTTTGAAATACCACTTTAAAATAGCCCATTTGCGAATTACCCTTGGCCTCATTCTCAAAACGAGTCCTCGTGCTCAACCATTCTTGTGAAAATGAGTTTAATTTGCATGTGAATGGAAACTTATTATCATATGAAAGGATTAGCACAAGGACTCGTTTTAAAAATGAGGCCAAGGGTAATTCGCAAATGGGCTACTGAGAATACTGTGCGAGTTCTAAGTTGAAACATGTTTTTATCCAGTTTGTGGAAATTAAAGTTACCAATATGATCAAAAGAGCAAGGGAGCTTATTTTTATATTTTAGTTTGTATTTTTCTGAAAATAATGCATAACAAATCAAAGCGTTGTTAACAATTTTGTGTATGTTTTGTACAGCCTTTGTTCTTAAAAAACTCAGAAAATGACTGCACTGAACTGATAGAAATGCTTAACTGTCCCTCCCACCCAAGTCCCCTTCGTCGGTGCCCTTCCTGGGTGGTTTAGAATGAAGAGATTTAGCACCGCGTTTACGTGAAAGGTGAACGGCAAGAGTGACCACGTGGCCTAGTTTTTCCGCAATTTTTGACATTTTCTGGTTGCGCTTTGCCGTTTCTACGTGAAAGTAACCTATTTCGCGTTTGCCGTGTTCGTAAGAATTCCTTCACGTTTTTCTCTCACAGAGCATAAGTGTAGAAGCGGGAAAAAGAGCACCAAAAATATTCTTTGTAAGTCATAAGGGGCACCTTCAAATCCACCATGAGAAGAACTCATGCGAACCTAATGGAGAAAGGTTCACGCTATTTTACGTGAAACAGCAAACTAACGTTTGCCGTTTCACGTAAACACGGTGCTAAATCTCTCTATTTACTAAGTAAATTAACGTCTAGCAATCCTCTTTCACTGGGAAGTCCGTCGCGCAAGGATGGGAATCGGCACCCAAGAACCTCCTCTTATCTACGCCTTAGGTTAATAAACCCTTTTAACTCCGAGAGTGACCAAGGTAGAATTTTACCTTACGAGATCAAATGCAATATCGAGCAGACAAGTAATGAGAATAAAGAAAAATATCGATAAAGGTCTTATTTATTAGTTGATTATATACCAAATTCTCAGAATTAACATTTTAGGAATTGTATGACAGACAATAGGTGGAATTACTGACGAAATCTTGGGAGTGGAAGGGGAAAGTGGAAAAGTAATAACATTTGACACATTTGTAACCAGGGAATATTATTTTGATAAACTACACATTAATCAGCTTTAGTGAAAAAATATACGGTAGTCAGTTCGGAGAATTTTCTTTCCACATAGGAGTTAAGGGTGAAGGCAACACGCAGGCGCAGTAAAGTAAGCCGTGTTTGAACGCGATGGTGGTGCCCATAATTATTCCCCATTTCAAAAACGAGCGGGGGAGTGGGTCGAGCTCGCCGCGAAAGTTTGTCTGGGATCGTTACTCGGGACACAAATCTGTAGTAAACAAAGAATTGCGTCCCGAGTAACGATCCTAGACAACCTTGCGCGGCGAACTCGACCCACTCCCCCACTTGTTTTTGAAATGGGGAATTTCACTGTCAGTTTGACAATGCCTTCCATTCAAGTGTCTTGTACCATTACGTAACAATGAACCAGTATCCGCAAAATAACTCTATTTAATATACTTTTCTCTTCACGAATACTAAGATAAATTACACAGTACGTCTCTAGTGGTCAGCCTTCAAATTCCAAAGTAGGTCGAGCCGGTAATTCAGGTTACAGTCTAAGAAAAAGGTTTAGAGGTTTGCAACCCATTCGAAATCATATTTGTGAATGGCTACCTCCATCGGTCAGAATTTTATTATGGTGGCATGTCCATGAAAATGAAAGAGCAATTTCAAAACTGAGATATCTAAATAGATCACTTGCATTGTTTTGTCCAGCTTCAGTTGCAAAGACCTGGTGTGTGTCGAGAGCCGCTATTCCCAACAATACTTCACGGGAGAAAAGAACGCAGAACCAGATCAAAGTAAATCGCCCCTGGTCGCACTACACTTAAACAGATAGTTGTGTTCTCGGAATTTCAGGACTTTGTTCCACGAACGTAGTTCTACTACCCTGTGTTTCTTCCCTTCGTTTTGACTCTAGTTGAGCCTTGTTGATCTCTGTGGGCCAAAGCGTGTGTCGAACCACGGAAATCACCACCCTGATTTAATTAAAAAAAAAGAAAGAAAGAGAAAAAGAAATTATCCTCTGCTTGTACTTCACACTATTGTAATTAGTGGTATTCAGATCGAGATTGTATGATTACAGATCAATTCGAATTATAATTGTGTCAATAACAAAATGCTCGAATACGATTGGTTCTCAACAGCCCTTATTTGTGGCATAATTCGCTGTCTCAGGTGCAATAGGCCAATTTTGCCTGTATAAACACAGACACTCGAAATCGGACAGTTAGGCTTGAATAATGATCGAGCACTTTAGGCCAATGAATGCCAATGGCATTTCCTACCTTTCCTTCGCTAGCCAATCAGAATCAAGGAAAACTTCTAAAATGAGCAAGGTGACAGGTCTAGATTGAAAACTTCAGAAAATCGAACCCAAGCTGATCAGTAATCCAAAGAAACGTATGAACTCTGACAATGTTTTATTCCTATTTCCCTGCATACAACTAATTGGTAATCGGATTTGTGTGTCAGGTGCAATTGAACTCGTAATTTCAAGTATGCCTTGCTATGCGGCCTGCTAATTTGAAATCACTCACCCGATAACTCCCTACGAACTAAAATTACATCGGAAAACATCCCATAATACCTTGGAAACAGAGCAGCAACGGCACTTAAAGCACAAACAGCCCAGAATTCCCTAGTTGCCATGGTTACGAGTGGCACTTTGTACATCTCCCAAAAGAAGCTCCTTAATTCGCCTAAGATGGCGAACCAGACGAATGAGAGAGCGATGCTACCCCATAAGAACACATGATGTAGAATTGTCTGCAGGGAAAATGACACAACGTGAGTTAGTGGGCCTTTCAGTAACAACCAGATCGGCAGTTGTCGACAGAAATTACATTAAGCTTAGATATTTAAGGTGTTATCTCCTAGGAGGCACGGTTGCCTAGTACTTAGCTAACTGGAGTCCCGATTGAGGGGTCTGGGTCAGCCGTATTGTGTTCTAAGGTTCCTGTTGAGTTGTGTTGTTACCCCTCTGTCATTGTTTGTTATCGGCTGCTCTTGGGTGAATAACACTTTCACCTCCGAGCTAGCCGATCAAAAGGGGCGACAAGCATTTTTTCACTTGTGCAGTCTTTCCTAACATAAATATGGTCGACTCCCGTCAAATCGAAACTTAAGGAAAAGTTGAGAAAAGTTTGAGTAGTCGGGAGAAAAAGAAATGAAGGTTGAAATATTCGTAGTTTTTCTTACCCACTGAGCTGTGATCAGAGCTAAATACAAGTTGGCAACTATCACTGAACTCTGATGAAGGGTAACCCCAACCATGCGAATATCAGCAGCGGTACCATTATACACCTGTAGTGAATAAAAAATGGAAATAGTTGAAAACAGTGCCACTCATTTCCGCTTGACGTACTCTAATGCATCGATACACTACTGAATCAAACTGCTGACCGTTACTTGCAGTTCTTATCAGAGGAATTAATCTGCCATTGGATATCAGAGCAAAAATTTTGAGATTCTATATCTTAATTAGCTCCATTTGATCATTTGATAAATCAATTCGTCACTTGCTGTTTGAACTTTGAAATCACCTATTCTTCAATATTGATTAGAACAACAGTCCAAATGAGTGAAGAAAGAAATCCGGTTTGCACAAGATAATTCTCTCAACTCTCTGTTATAGAACAAATTTCGTGACCAATCAAATTCAAAACTAAAACAAATTGAAACTTGGTCACGCCCGCTCGTCGATGCTTGATATAGATTAGATGTATTCGAGTTCTCTTTGGAAGTCTACCATAAGCTTGCCTAAGCATCCATGGTTTCTCGGCTCAATCGAAAGCGCTCTTCGGCCATTTGCCAGGTGTTTCGTGTGGTTACGACATAATCATTTTAATTTCCCTGTAATTTGAAACTACACGTATCTTGTGTGGTAAATGTCGTGGCACCATAACGCCTGTTAAGATCCCTTAGTCCTCAGAGATGTCTTCACTGCAGTATCAGTATCGCTATACAATATAACTCACCCAGAAAGCTACGTAGAACACCACTAAGCTCTCATACAGTGCATCAAAGATTGTCATCCAAAACAGCTTCCTTGTGTAAAACTATAGATGAGAAACAAATCATCAGTTTAGACTCAGACTATTTATCCATTGCTTGATGATTGACACAAAGGGCCCTTGGAAGCAGGCTAAAAAGCTTGTTCAATCTATATTTAATTAGTCCCTCCTCAAGAGGGGCATAATATATGCTCAGGCATACTCAGTTTAAGAGTAAGTCTTGCGAGTATAATGCCTTAAACCGCGGAGTTTAACCACGTGTCTGTAACACGAAACGACCAGGAGTAACACAACTGCTTTTGAACGGGTGCTAGTCCATCGTTAGAGACCACACTTCCCCTCTCCCCTTTGCTCCCTTACGAAAACTGTCACGTTTCACTAATAGTTCACCCGTTACCACTCCTACTCCTGGGTGAAGAGAAAACCAGTGAGAGGAATGGGTCCTTCTCAAGATCACAACGCGGTAATGGGAGCTCGAACCCACACCTCCCAATCCAGAGTCCACGACGCACATCTCATGGCCAATATGTTCCCCACATGTATTTTAAAAGGGAACTCTGAGTGCCTGGTGTTTCTAAATATGGTTTATCTAAATAGATCTTCACAACACGGGGAATACTTCGATTACAGCTGCACAAAAAGTGGCATTCTGTTGATCTGTACCTCGCTATTCTGTCCGGATTTGTAAAGAGAAGGCTTTGCAGTCAACATTGGATCCGGAACATCTTTATCCAGGACTCCACAAATTACCGGAGGCACAGTCGTCAACGCGAGATTGAAGAGGATTAGAGATAAGTCGTCAATAGCATTTGAACCCGAAAAACCGTTGTACAGTTGGAACCAGAACAGAACGAGCACAAACATCTGAAAGGAAAAAGGAAATGCAGGGCGGCCATATTTCACGTAAATAACCGCAAATATTTATGTTTTTTACCCATCGTTTAACAAGGGACCGCTATGTCTATCGGGCACTTTCTTTTTTGATGGTATCACGTGGTAATACATGAGAAATCACTCACATTCCAGCTGACATTTTATTCAATAAGAGAGCAGCACCATTTTTTCGCCGGGGTGGGGGAGTGGGGTGGGGAGGCAGAGGAATTTGGGGACAGACGGGGATCAGTCGTCGCAAACAGAGTATATAGGGGGATTATAGAAAATTGACTGCTGATTAACTGCCAATGAGTGAGGGGTTCCTAACGGGGGGATAAGATAGGTTTTTCCGTGACACAATCAACATCTTCGGACCTCGGAGGCGATTAATAATGCAATTAATAATGCTCGGTCCATAATCACTAATAAAATTGACTGAAATCGATTTTCCTTCCTTTCCAGTCATTAAACAACAAGGCTAAGGTTTAATTTATTGCTGACTTACAGCATTCTTGAAGAAGAAATAAAGAAACATCTTGGAGATTCGATCATAGCACCAGTGACCATGGACCAATAAGAGGCGAGAAAGGAATTTAAACCGACCAATGGCGAAGTCGCTTGCCATGACAGCCTGCATTCCTTCTTGTCCCGAAATTCCAATTCCCACGTCCGCCATTTGTATCATACTTACGTCATTAGCACCATCACCAATTGCTAACGTCATTGTCTTTAGTCCATTTCTGACCAGCTGGACAACTGCAGACTGAAACCCAAAACATACAGAGGCTTAACTGGGGGTATAGAAAGAAGTCAATACTAGAATAACGTGAAGCAAGAACTTTTCGGGTCAACGATTAGAGAGGATTGTTCTCGATCCATACGATAAGTTTTGCCGTCACGGTAATGTTATTTGCTGTAAGACTCCAACACCATACGAACATACGACGGTTGTGGTTGATCAGCTTAGATCCGTGGAAGTCAGGCGATCCTGACATGTATCATTAGGGACCTTAAGCAGTCAAGACGGCAACACCGAGCAAGACTTCGATTAAAAATAAATGTATGGATCTCGTTAGAAAACAGCGAATGGCTGCATGCGATTACCATCTTTAGGGCGCCACAGCTCAACATCAGCGTAACGTATGAGAGCAGCGTTAAGTTTTAAATGGAAACGTAAATAATTTCCCTTCGAGGATTCCGTTCTCAGACCGCGTAAATTCTTGTTATTTCACATTGCTGTTTTGCAGAGGACGGCTAAAAAAATGCACGAACGTTTAAAACGCAAACCGGCGTTGAGCTATTTTTCTGCCAATTAGAAATAGGGTTGCCATTGTGGTTTACTTGAGGTCCCTGTTTACTTCTCTTGAATACAGTCCTTCAGTTCGTCCTTAACAAGATTACTCTCATCTGGAGGATAGGACTTTACAACAACTATTACTCCAAGGTTCAAATTATTGGCCGAACCAAAAGAGTGAAGTACCCTTAAAAGTAAGGTAATACCTTATTTTTATTACCCACATTGTATCGTCTGTTGTATGAGTTTACATCATCGACAACATCAGCCAGAATTGGGTTTAGAACTTTAAAAAACATCACGAACATGAACTAACCTTTTGTAATGGAGTAGCTCTACAACAGAGAACCGCCTGACAGTGTCTGGCTAAGTCCAAGAACTTTATCTTTAAAGGTTCTTCGAGCGCAAACATGAGTGTCCGTCCGTCAATTACGAGTCCGACTGATCTGTCATTCACAGGTGCGTTGATACGGCCTGACACTGTGTTAGAAGAATGGTCGCTAGCAATACTCATGACTTCAGACTGAAAATGCGCAAGCCAAGATGTGATCTGGTCCTCACATTCCGCCTGCCGGGAAAAATGAAACGTTATGATTTTTTCTTTGTTCTTGGACTGACAAACAAGTGCAATATAAAACAAATAAATAATGAAAGTATACCTTGGTTTTCGCGTTCAAAATGACCTTCTGCATTGTAGTGTCCAAAAGTTTGCAGGAATGCCCCACATTAATTGCTGTTTCCTAGATAAAATTACAGCTAGCGTTAATTCAATTTGAATGACTAGTGAGACACAAGACAAGAACTCAATTAATCTGTGAGTAAGTCAACCAGCCTGCGAGTCTTTTTGTCGGCTGGTTAGTCCTGGTGATACGTTCAAAACGAAAGTGGTCTAAAGACCAGACACGCTAACCGAGTATCTGGTCATAGTTTCATCTTTCAATAACCTGTTTATCTCCTGTGAGGACCCAAACTTTAAGGCCTGCCTCACGTAACATGGCAATGGTCTCAGGGACACCATCTTGTAAACGGTCCTCGATGCCAGTGGCACCAAGGAGCTCCAAGTTACATTCTAACTTGTGGGCTGACTCTCGAAGGAGCCTTTCTCTGTCGTGAATAGCTGTTTCGGCATGCCTGTGTTGTTCCAGCCATTCTTCGTAATCACCAGTGGCTAAATCCTGAAACAACAGTAGATATGATGTTTAGGCCCGAGTATAATTATCCTCACAACCCTTCATGTTTTAACAAAGACGGCTTCGCGATTTCTTTTCAATCAATTCCTGTCGTGCATATGTTCTGCGCAGATATTCCAGTGGGTCGCTCAGTATTGAAAATGAAAAATGCTGAGGACCCTAATTAGCCTAAGGTATGTCTATCATACAGCATGGAAGTTTTATGATTTTCAATTTCGGCAGATTTTGCAGAACGTCCTTGCGTCACGAAAATAACTTTTCGCAGGAAAAAAAAATTTGCTAAACGACTCTTTGTCAATGTTCCTGCACAACATACAAAAATTCGCCAATCTGCATAGAATTGCTCTTGCAAACTTTCATCCCGCACGATAGCATAGGTAGACGCTGCATCATTTGTTCTCCAATATCTTCACATGAATTCCTAGTCGACTACAATTTGAGTAAAACTTTTGTCTACTTTAATCACTACCACCGCATCGGCGTGAGCGTTAGAAGGGGGCCTTTGAAATCAGTGCATAATTCTTTTTGTGTAAAGCAGTTTATTACTCTTCGTCTAAAATCTTCAAAAGTTTGCGCAGCACTGTTTATAGAATTCGACTGACTCTCGTCAGTAAAGGAGGTTCTATTTCTCCAAGTCAGCAATAACCTTTCCGTTATTAAGCCAACTGAAAAGTGTTAGACGCTACGGACCCCTGTGTTCTTTTTCCCACAATACGCGGTCATGAAAGGCATTATGCTATAGTCTTAACAGTCTTACTCATATGACAACAATCTCACTTTATTGAGCTGTTACAATCTTCAGCAAAGAAGTATAATACATGACTCACCCTTCTGGCCATACACAGGGTCCTTAGCCCATCCCTGGCATAAAGATCCAAGTGACACGACGTCTCCTCCACTAAAGATCCCCTACTTCTACTCCTAGCCGCCCATGACCCTTCACCAGCATCAACATCGTCCCCTTGGAACTGTTGATTGGCTCGTTCAAGCTTTGGGAGCACAGCTGAATCAGCTCCCTTGCAATATAATACTATGCTACTGTCATCCTCTCGGCGCACGATAATTGACATGCGCTTACGTGAAGAATCAAACGGCAGTACGTGCAATATTTCGTAAGCCACTTCACCCTCGCCAGGAATATACAACGTAACTTTATCAGGACTACGACTTAGAAGTTTATAGCCATACAAGTGGGCGGCCTTCACAAGTGCGGCCTCATCAGGAGACTCTGCCTCATACAGAATTTCGTCATTTGCTGTACTTTGTTCAACCGCAGCTTCTATAAGAGATCCAGGGCTTTTAAGTCGTTTAGATGACCTTTCTAGAGAAGTTTTCACAGGTGTTGCCGACACACCCAGGTTGCCATGCGCGGAATTTGAGTCTGGAATAAGGTGATTGTTCCAAGAACTATACTCGCCTAAATCTACAGGGACGTGTTTATTATCTGGATTGTGGGGTAAATCGGTTTGATCTGTTGGTGACGCGCTGTTATTTGAAGTCCCTTTAGACTTCCTTGTTACAACCACAGTATTGCAAATAGCGAGTAAAATGAAAAATTCTCTCAAGTAAGAACTTTGTGGCCCACAGTGATAGTTATTCCTCCCGTTCGATTCTACTACTTGTGCAAGTTCTTTATCCCAGTAAAGTTCACCACCCTGCAGAGTGGAACAGTTAAATTAAGCATTAACATAAGCTTCCATGCACTGCAAGAAAGTTGTCCTTCTCAAGCAAGCCATGAAAAATTGGAGAAGGAAAGGAAAAAAAAAAAACTTGCAACCACAGATAAAATAATTTCAATTTGTCTCTGACCATAGCTGTACACTATCATTGAAGAGAAATGCCAGTCATTGCATGAGAAATGACACTGGCTTCACCTTTTTTCTTAACTGTGACAGCCCAAGCTGACCACTGCAAAATGGCTCTCTTGCAACGTGGATTACCAAATGTCAGTAAGTTATAATAATTTACTCACATTTGATTCATCAGAAATTTGATGGTACATTTGATCAGCATCTGATGATGACGGTGCAGCATCGGTAAGATCTGACCCTATCAATCGTGGCAATGAAACAGACATTAAATAGCTTGAATCAATAATAAATCAGCCAGATTAAAGTGTACAAAATTTTTTAAGTACGTGACATGATCTACTTGCCAGGAATGATCGTAAACATCCCCTCCCTTAAAGAACAAGGAAAAATAATTGAAAAACAACTGGGGCAATACAAGATGAAAAACTGAAAAGGATAATCTAAGAATCCTTTGGAACTCTGACTTAATAATAATGATAATAATTTATTTCTTATAGAGCACTATTTACAATGACAGATCAACAGCGCTTTACACTCAATCCTAACCCGCCCATCCCACCCCAGGGGAGGACATCCATCACACAGTAATCTCGTGCACGGGAAATTGACGTCTCCTACCCCAAACCCTGCAGGAGACGGGACCTCCATTTATTCGTCCCTATCCGAGAAGACTAGAATATCTAGTAGACTAGAATATCTAACCATTTCTTCATGTTATAGAAAGGTAGCAAATTCTTCTCAATTATTTTAAGACCTTGAGTGTTGGTCTGGAGACCTTGAGTCTTGGTCCGGGTCCAGAGAAGGGATTGTGGTTGAAAACAATTTTCACTAACCGCAATATGGATAGCAATGTTGCTTGTTCATACCTCTGACCCTAATCTTAACCCTAAGCTGACCCTTTAGGAGACATGTAAATTTTCTGGCAAAAGACATGGCCAGTTTGAAATAGAAGGACCAAATAATTAAGGATGATCATACAGTATATTGAGTGACTCCCTACCACACACCTTTTGTACACAAAATTCTTACCAAGTTTGTCCCCGTGAGAAAAGTTTCTTCCACCAATGGTACATCTCTTGAATACCATTTTGTTTTCAGTCAGAGTTCCTGTCTTGTCTGAGAAGACAAACTTGATCTGTCCTAGATCCTCATTAATGTTCAGTGCACGACATAAAACTGGTTGATCCATTTCAGCATAGTACAGTTCAAGGTCATTAGAGATGAAATACACTTGGAACAACTTGACAACTTCCATAGAAACATAGAGGGAGATTGGGATTAGGACCTGAGGGTACAAAAATGCATTCAGCGCAAACACACCAGCTTAAGATATTCTCTGTACAAGTCATGTAAAACTGTAGATGACAAGTTCGAGTAAATTACATTAATTGGTGCAAAAAGGAGCAATTTCAGTATACCGGTTATGGTCACATAAGGAATCACCACAGTTCATAAAACAAGTTATCACACATGTACTTATTGCAAATAAAAAGTGAACCTGTAAAATTATGACAAATGTCCAGAATCTGATAAACCCTTCCGTCACTGGTTTTCTCACAAATGGCTGATCAGCATCAGTAGAACCAGGTGTGAAGTGTCTGTTGAAGAAACCATTTCTGTCTGTCCAAAACCCACAACCTGTGAGAGAGACATGAAGGTAGAGTGTAAGTCTGTTCTCCAGCCAAGTGGGGTACCCAGCTGTAACATATCCTGGTTTCCTTAGCATAAAGCGACTAGGAGTATTACAGCTCCCCTCTGGACAAGATGCTAGTCTATTGCACGGTTAAGCCCGTGCATTTCCTCAGGCTTCCCTTAAAATTTGCCGATATTCATTTACACTCAGGGGTGGAGAGAAGCATATAGGGTATTTTTCCCAAGAACACTGAGAACATTGACCTGTCATGGTCTCCAACCTGGACTTCACAATCCAGAGTTCAATGGATTTCACAAATCAATCGCAGTTTAGCATGGTCTGTATATACAATTATCAACAGCGATATTCATCATCACAGCTGCGCCTTGTGAGTGCACAACAAATTTTGACCACTGTGATGATGAATGTTGTTATCTCTAAGAATACAGACAATGCTAAACCACTGTGCATTTGTTCACTACCATGATATCAGTGTTGAATACTGGTAAAACAATTCTTTCAGTGCATGACATGTTGCATGACAATTTTGACATGAGCAGCATTGTCTGTAACCTTATTGGCAATGGCAAATTGGTCAATCAGATTGCAACATTACTGCTAATTGTGGTGAAATAACCATTAGGTCACTGTCTCCCACCAGGAGAGACATACACCATCAGAACATGTGAGAGGAGGTCAAAAGTTTTTCATGCAATGATAGTATAGTTGTGTGTCACCTATTTGTGAGTGCAGTTTTGGCTCTGAATTAGCGAAACACTTTTTCTTGTATTGCCCAAGGTATGCTGCTCAACATAATGTCCTCCTTACCTCTGCTGGCACATGTAATATTCAAGGTGAAACATGGTCTCATACCCGAGAATATTTCTGACTTATTTAATATAAAGAACACTCAGTATAATTTACGGAACAGTGACTTCAAACTGCCAAGATTCGAAACTGTAAGATTTGGTAGGAATTCTATTAAATATATGGGACCTCTCATCTGGTCAAAGTTACCAAGACACCTAAGAACGATACAAACTCTAAATTCGTTCAAGAAGAACATAAGAAAAGTTGACCTTTCAACTCTCATTGAAATTTAAAACTTAACTAAATAACTTTATAATCTTTTTAATTATCTACTGTAAATAACTATTATCTAAATATGTAAATGTATTTGACTTTTAAACTTTTTAGTGTCCCCCATTAGCTTATAGCTAAAAACATAGACACTTAAATAAAGTTCTTCTTTCTTCTTCTTCTTCGTCATCCAGCAGCGATGCAAGGAAACTAATTTTTTGTTGTTGAATGTTGAGTCTGTAAATTACCATGTTAACTGTGCTTTTTTCCCAAAGTACAAAGTTTTATAATTAACAATCACTTTTTGGAGGCCTTTGCTTGATTGCTGAAATGATACCAGTATATTCTTAGCTTAGTCAATTAAATTGTTGTTATTGCAACTTGTGTGTGTTGTTTGTGTACCTGTTTGTGTGTGAGGCTTGCCAAATTGATTTAAAAGAAATATCTTTTTAAAAAGTTGAGAACTGTTTCAACACTTCAAGATGAATACCATTTTCTGTATGCAAAGAAATGCAGTGACTTGTGCATGAAATCATCAAGCTGTGCCAAGAATATCTGTCAATTATTGTTCAGGAAAAAGTGGCGATGGGCTAAGAAACTTTTTAAGCATTGTACATAATTAGTGTGCACATAATTAGTGTGCACATAATTAGTGTACACATAATTAGTCTGCACATAATTACTATGCACATAATTAGTGTGCACATAATTAGTCTGCAAAGGTAGGCATTGTAACAGTTCTTACCAACTCCACCAAGGAAACAGAGAATGAAGAGTATAACAACACATGAAACAACATCTAGATTTAGATCCCTTTCCACTTTACTGCGCTTGTATCTTGGACCACTGTTATTCATCAGGGCTTTGGTGTCATGACCTAACAGCAACATAACAAAACGATCCCTTACAATCACTCAGTTACCACTAAATATATAAATAATAGTTCAGTTACGAAAACCCATGACAGCAAGGTGAAATATTCAAGAGTTTTTGGGGCAAATTTTATTCCTGTATCTTTTCCTTAAATAAAACACTAAATTGCCTGACAAGTGCAATTGTTCAAATTCTTCCTTGTTTCAAAACTACCATCCACACTGGCATGTAAGTTGCACATGCAGATCAGATGCACCTCAAAAGAAACCTAGAGATATCACAAGTGGGAGTCTTGAGAAAGTAGCTCTGTTTTGGTTCCTTCATCAAATGTGCAAACCTATACTTACTTGTAGTTTTAGCTGTAATAGTATGGGTATCATATCTATTGACTAATGTTTGACCTTACTCTGGTATTGTTCAACCAGTATTTTTTTTTTCATTCCTATGAGAATTTCAAAGGAATTTAGTCTGCCGTATCAAGTTATAATTTTCAATGACTATTGCTTATTTAAGCAAATTTGTGGCACATTTTCCCCATTTTTTCGCAATTAAGCTACATCTCTGGTTTGTTACAAAAATTTTTTGGGGGAAGGTGCAGCTTATAACCTGGTGTTTCTGTTAGTTTAACTCAAATTTTCCTTTGTCTCATATTTGATGACATGTAAAGAGAGAGTTAAAGGAAACAAAAAGTGAATTGTTTGGAATACTTTAAAACTGAAGGAAAATTTAAGTTTTCATGCCTCTTCTTAAACTCTGATTTTGGTAATTCATTTCCAAGCAAAATCACTTTCTCACCTGCATAGACAACTATTCCCTCGGCCCAGTCTGTGTTGCGAAGGATGCAACCACGCAACAGTAGATTGTTCTTTCCAACAGGAATCTCCTTTCCCTCGTCATTGGATCTGAACAGCAGAAAAGAGACCAATTAATAATACAACAACTGCTGAGATCTTACCTCAAATGTCCAATAAACTTGAATATACAGTTACTGTATTAGTTAACAGAAAGTTTTGTTTTCTATGCCTCATACTCATGCAAGACAGTAAATCTATTACACGATTCCTTCTTTTTGAACAGCTGAGCTTAAAACTGACCATCTTTCTTGCTGATGCGACGTCTCCCAATTCTATAACTATCAAATTCAATGTGGATGTAGACATCATTTCACTGTATTAACAAGAAGCTTACATCCCTAAGCTCTCACACTTAGTATTAATCTAAAAACCAAACAGAGAACAAGCCTAGCACTCAGATGCCTCCCACCAATACCACTAGTGCTAGCAATGATTGAGTACAACCTTCTGGCAGCTAACCCTTGGCAGCGGGTAAGGTAACGTCGGTTGGATCAGATTCATTACCTTCTCCCTTGGCAGCAGTCACATGCATCATAACGGTTATTTTAGTCAAGTGCTGCTCTCCAAGCAATATACTTACAAGGTCCCATTGAATCTGTGAATGTGGTTATTTGGCTCTTCACACTTGAGTTTAAATTCGAACTGTTCTGGGGAAAATCTAGAATTTCCCTGTGAACACAATAAATAAAAATAAGAGAATTTGAAGATAAATCCAATAGCAGGTACATATTTGGTAAACCTACTATATGCTTGCCAAGGCTAATAAGAACCATTCAACGACCCTTACAAACATGCAAATTAAGATTAAAATTTTTTAAACCAGTTTGGATGTTAATCTCTTTCTATACATTTATTTTCATGATCTGTCCAAAACAAATNCTCAAACACGATAGAAGGTGTATGGAGTCAAATCAAGAGAAAGCTGAAGGCAATGAACGGGACAGTGAAGAGCAAACTTCCATGCTACCTCGACGAGTTCAACTGGCGGAAATGCTACCCTGGTGATCCGTTTGACAACTTGCTCGAAGCCATCGCAGAGTTCTGCCCACCAAACTAAGTTTACTTAGTTTTACAAACAAACGGCTCCTTTAGGAGCCACCAAATAAAAAAAAGTCTTGAACCGACAGAGACAGAACCAACATGTGTATTGTTCAACATTAGATTAGCGGCGCGCTCCTAAATCAATTATCGCATCACGCATCCAAGTCTAATTATCGAATTGTTACGTATAGTATTTTATTACTTAACATAACGAGTAAAAAGATTCACAGTTGTATCATTTATTAAACTTGAAATTGGAAATAGCAATTCATCCCAAACCTGCAAGATAGATTACGATGCTAGCAACAAATACATACATACATACTTAACATACCATAAGAGGCCGCGTTGCATTGTTGGGCGATTGGAACGAAAGTGTTTGTATTGATACGTAGCTTATGGTTTTCAGAGTTTTTGGCCGAGTTTTCGATTAAATTATCTTCCTATGCGATTCTTAGATTGTCTGGTGTGTTGTAAATTACGCAAGTGATATATCCTATACGCATCTGATAACATTTTGGAAGAAACGTTTCTTTACATACTACCAACTTTGCCGTCGATCGGTAAGTAGGTGAAGTCTGTCGAGTCATACATCACCATTACGGATTGTTATGTCACGTTAACTGTTCGTTTTTTACACAATTTTTCTTTTTTCTTAACCTGTCGGTAGACTGTCGGCCGCCTGTCGGTCAACTGTCGGCCGACAGTCGGCCGACAGTCGGCCGACAGGTTTTTTGGGGAGCTCTTCTTCACAATTACCAAATGATCCCTTACAATCACTCAGTTACCACTAAATATATAAATAACAGTTCAGTTACGAAAACCCATGACAGCAAGGTGAAATATTCAAGAGTTTTGGGGCAAATTTTATTCCTGTATCTTTTCCTTAAATAAAACACTAAATTTCTCAACAAGTGCAATTGTTCAAATTCTTCCTTGTTTCAAAACTACCATCCACACTGGCATGTAAGTTGCACATGCAGATCAGATGCACCTCAAAAGAAACCTAGAGATATCACAAGTGGGAGTCTTGAGAAAGTAGCTCTGTTTTGGTTCCTTCATCAAATGTGCAAACCTATACTTACTTGTAGTTTTAGCTGTAATAGTATGGGTATCATATCTATTGACTAATGTTTGACCTTACTCTGGTATTGTTCAACCAGTATTTTTTTTTTCATTCCTATGAGAATTTCAAAGGAATTTAGTCTGCCGTATCAAGTTATAATTTTCAATGACTATTGCTTATTTAAGCAAATTTGTGGCACATTTTCCCCATTTTTTCGCAATTAAGCTACATCTCTGGTTTGTTACAAAAATTTTTTGGGGGAAGGTGCAGCTTATAACCTGGTGTTTCTGTTAGTTTAACTCAAATTTTCCTTTGTCTCATATTTGATGACATGTAAAGAGAGAGTTAAAGGAAACAAAAAGTGAATTGTTTGGAATACTTTAAAACTGAAGGAAAATTTAAGTTTTCATGCCTCTTCTTAAACTCTGATTTTGGTAATTCATTTCCAAGCAAAATCACTTTCTCACCTGCATAGACAACTATTCCCTCGGCCCAGTCTGTGTTGCGAAGGATGCAACCACGCAACAGTAGATTGTTCTTTCCAACAGGAATCTCCTTTCCCTCGTCATTGGATCTGAACAGCAGAAAAGAGACCAATTAATAATACAACAACTGCTGAGATCTTACCTCAAATGTCCAATAAACTTGAATATACAGTTACTGTATTAGTTAACAGAAAGTTTTGTTTTCTATGCCTCATACTCATGCAAGACAGTAAATCTATTACATGATTCCTTCTTTTTGAACAGCTGAGCTGAATGGGAGGCAGTGTGGCCGAGTGGTTAGAGTGTCGGACTCGTAATCCGCCACTCCCGGGTTTGAGTCGCACCCTGACCACTGGATTTGTTTCACGGTAGCCCCGAGTTCAGATCCTTGGCCACGCTTGTAAATAGCCAACTGGTTTGCCTCTGGCTGGTTGGGGTTCTTAATGATGTTCTTAATGATGTTATGTTCAATTTAGATCATTTGTTTCATTTGTTTGCAAGGACCACAATGGAAACTACTGGTTCACCAGTAATTGTGTAATCCTATAAAAAGACTTTTTTTTTTTTTAAACTGACCATTTTTCTTGCTGATGTGACGTCTCCCAATTCTACAACTACCAAATTCAATGTGGATGTAGACATTATTTCACTGTATTAACAAGAAGCTTACATCCCTAAGCTCTCACACTTAGTATTAATCTAAAAACCAAACAGAGAACAAGCCTAGCACTCAGATGCCTCCCACCAATACCACTAGTGCTAGCAACGATTGAGTACAACCTTCTGGCTACCTTGGCGGCAGTCACATGCATCATAACAGTTATTTTAGTCAAGTGCTGCTCTCGAAGCAATATACTTACAAGGTCCCATTGAATCTGTGAATGTGGTTATTTGGCTCTTCACACTTGAGTTTAAATTCGAACTGTTCTGGGGAAAATCTAGAATTTCCCTGTGAACACAATAAATAAAAATAAGAGAATTTGAAGATAAATCCAATAGCAGGTACATATTTGGTAAACCTACTATATGCTTGCCAAGGCTAATAAGAACCATTCAATGACCCTTACAAACATGCAAATTAAGATTAAAATTTTTTAAACCAGTTTGGATGTTAATCTCTTTCTATACATTTATTTTCATGATCTGTCCAAAACAAATTTCAAAACAGAAATTCAACTGATTTGGAAAATATCTTAAACCCTTTTATACCCTAACATCAGTATCCACGTTCTCCATTATCTCTCTATACATTTCCTTTGGTACTGACAAGGAGAATTTGTTTGACAATCAAATGAAAGCTTCTTAGATTTAGGATCATTTCCTTTAGTTTCATGATTGCATTGAATGATTCAGCAATATTACTGCGAGGAGAGATTACTTTTGCAGGGGGATTTACTCTTAGGCTTTCAAAGATTGACCCTTTCAATCCCATTAGGTGATCAAGACAGAGTTTCTCCCCACAATCTTGATACAATATTAAGCAGACAAGTGATGAGAATAAAGAAAATATTATTTAGGTGAATTGTGAATTGATCCAATAGCAAATCTTAAAACCAGCATTATAAGAATGGTATGTAAGATGGTAACTTAGGAGAAGTACTAAATAAATGAGATCTTGGGAGTGAAATGGTTAAAGAAAGGAAAACCATTAACTAGATTTATTCAGCTCAGTATCAAGCAAAAACAATCAAATAGAAATCTAAACATACCACATGAAGTCCTTTCACCACTTCTCTTTGCTTCAAATTGGTTTCTCCATCAAGGTTAGCAGTTTCGATGTGGCAAATAGAATTGTCATCACTTGTGTTAAGTAACAGAATATCTGATGGGACGCTCTCATCACTTCTAAGCCTCACAAAGTCTCCAACTACTACCTTTTTCCATTTGACTTGTTGATATTCCCTAGCGTCACTTAAACATACAAAAAAGAAGGTTTGTAATCACCACAACAATTATATAGGATACATTTCATTTCCACATGGAAAGATAGGAAAAGGATTTACATTTGCTTGTGCAGAATGCTTGTACCTGAATTATGGTGAAGCTTAAACAACTGTCTGTTACTGCTAATTGGTTGGCCGTTTGATAATTTTATTTTCACTAGCTGATAATGGCAGGGTTCTCAAGAAGTTTTGATGTAGACGGCTGAAACGCAAAAGTAGGTGGCGGGAGAAGTGAGTACCACAGGCATGAGCCTCTAGGGGGGGTCTGGCAGCATGCCCCCTCCGAAAAACTTCAAAATATAGAGGGTTAGATTTGCTGTTTTGAGCTTTGCGGCAAGCAAATTTGGTTTTAAGAAATATTTTTTTTATCAGAGACAACCATAAATTTGACTGAACATCTTTCTTTTCTTGGAATCCTAATAATGGGACCAGACTACACTCCAAAAAAGGCAGTAGTTTTCTCGCCTTCATCTACCTGGCTTTCTGTTTTTCGTGATTTACAGAAATATTGATCAATTCCAGGCTGGCTTGAAGTGGGTTTTCTTTTACTTATGGGTACTCTATACTAATTACATACTAAGAATTCATGCCTTCTTCTAACAGGCTGAACGCTACACCACACTTGTTGATCACAAACACCGGTCACCGGTATTTTCAATTTGAATTATTTGTTTAAGTTGCTTTTGTGGAAAACCTGTGAACTAGCTTCTAGCTAAGTGTTTCTCCACGTTAAACTGTTTATTATTATTATTATTATTAGCGGAATTTTGCAGAAGGTAGGAGGCGCGCATTGGCATTGTGTAATACGTTTTGCTGCTGAAAACGGCTTTCAAGTATTACTCGTTTGATTCACGCCATTTTTAACTTTGAAATATACATGTAGATACAAAATAAGGAGACAAGCTTATCACCGAAAAAGTAGGCGGCTCTACATTTAAAGTAGCCGGTTTTTTAGCCTGCTGCCAGCACTTAATGAGAACCCTGTAATGGTATCTCCTATTGCTGTACAGTTAAATCTCAATTACCCGGACCTTGATTATCTGGATTTCTCGATTACCCCCACTTTTTTTCTGGTCATAATTTTGTCATGGAATTTATTGGTCATGATCACGTCCCGTAGCCATATTCTTTCCTAAACTAGGGCGTTGAAAAGTGAAGTAAAGACAAGTTTGCATGTTTTGCTTTCAAAAAGCAAAACTAGCACCCACATGCATTGTAACCAATACAGAAATTTTGAATGAGACCTAGATTTAGTGCTCTATTGACTCATTCGGCAACCATATTTTTTTCAAGAGGATTTGTAAATGTTTTGTTTCACGATTAAATGTCGCTTTCTTAATTTAATCATTTTTTGTTCCTCATTAATATTCATATTCTCAATTATCCTGACCCTCGCTTAGCTAGAGTATTAATTTTTGTCTGGTCCCAATAAGTCTGGATAATCAAGGTTCAACTGTACATGTAGTCATTAGCTATATTCTATGGCTTCCACATATCATATTTTAACATGTCATAATGTTTTCAGCCTTGGTCCAAAAAAACTATGAGGTATTATTACCTCAATCTATTCTAAATCAAGTGACTTTTGTTGGTTTCTGTTTGATTTCACTTTTGTAAGATGAAACCATTCCCTTGAGTCAAATACTGGCCAACCATGCATTAATTATCCAAACACAACACATCAAATTTTTACACCTAGAAAGATTGGAAGTCAAGCTGCTATTAAAATTGGCTGAAGTAGACCACATCAACCTGTAATTAATATGTAATTTACGAATTTCACACAAGCATCTTTTTTCTAAGAAGTCCATTCAAATAAAAAACACCAGGCGTGATTAAATTGGATTAGTAACACATCACAATTTGGAAAATTTGCAGATCCAGTAAGAGAGATCTTTCATGGAATGTGTAAAATTGCTTTTTCATTTTTCCATGCTTTAAATAGAGACTTAGCATCTTATGTTTCATTTTGACGTGATTCTGTGAATTAATAATTTTCTCTTAAATCAGAAGAATGTAGATAGCGGAATCCCGATTTCTCGAACCCTCGGTTTCACGAACCACCCAATATATCTCGAACCAAACCTTGTTTCCCTTGGATTTGCTTCACTTGTAATTTCACCCCCGATTTCTCGAACTCCCGATTTCTCGAACCAATTTGCGTTTCCCCTGGAGGTTCGAGAAATCGGGATTCCACTGTAAACTCTGCTTGAATAGTAAATAGTAGTTTTTGACTTAGGCGAGAAAAAAAAACCTTGTGGTTTTATAAGTTGATCCTTTGATCCCAAATCTTTGTTATATTTTGAGTGCCACGCTATTTTGACAAACATCTTTTGAGGGGGTAAACTACATTAGCCACGGCCACGGGCAAGCATTACCCTTTCACCAAGCATCATTTATTTCACAGTATCAGAAGGAAATGGATGCAATTTTACTCAAATTACAAGGAAAAAGAACAAGGGAAAAAGAAGCTTTGTGTTAACGTGAAGGTTAACTGTAGTTTGGTTTTTTTCCTGCCTTGTCATGAGGACCAGTACTCCGCTCATTAAAAATTACTTAAGTGTGTGGGCAGATGTTTACTTATCAAAAGTCTAGATCTTTGTATATTGTATGTTGCAGTCCACATCATTCAAGCACTGTAATCTCCTGTACTATAATATGTCAACCTAATGAGAGAAATCTTGACAGAGAAAGCCACTTTCCAATATGTCACTCTCTAAACGATTCTAGTATGATATGAAACTATAATACACATACTTGGCTTCAGCTTAGAATATTTGCTTCTAAGCAAGAGATTTGAAAAAGGTCCACGTCGACTTAATAAAATATGCAACTGTGTTAACCCAAGGCCAGCAACAAAAGAAAAAAAAATACCAAATACAAGAAATAAAAATCCTCACCTGTTAAAAACATGGCAGATATTATTATTCACCGCTTTATCCGATTTGTACCTTCTCCGATCTTCATATAAATCTTTTATCGCCGTCACCGATAGGACGAATATTAAAGGTACCATTGCGATGTATTTCCCAAAGGCATTAATTTCAGGAATCAAATTTAAAATAATGATCGCCAAGAAGTAGATGTTCGCAAATCGGTGAAATTGCTCGAATAGGTTCTTTGGAAGAAAGGACCAAAGTGAATACTTGGTGGTCTTGATCGAATTGCCAAGATTGTATTTTGAATGAATGTTGTTGAGACATTCTTTACTTTGGGCATGTTTTGGGACAACCAGCCGGTAACGCTCGCCTAAACTCCTCTTTCTCCTTCGCATGCCGGCAAGTTGAGGTCCAAACGCCCTCTAAAAAAGTAAATCTATGAATTGGTTACATCACAAGGTCAGAAAATCTTGAATCAAACGAATGACTCTTCCACTAGCGACCGTCACGCGAAAGCGGAACTCATCTGACGTTCGTTGACGTGCAGACAAGTTCCCGCGAGCCCGCAATAACTAATATCAGTTGTCGTCAATAATCGGACATTGTCGGAAACCTCCAGATATCATTCGGAGATTGTGTCGGTGTACGATCCCATGCTTCATAGCGAGCCTTGAACGCCATATTGGTTTGTTTCGTGTTAACGTTAAAACTGCTTTCCAGTGGTGAACCTTCCTTGTGTGGGCGCTTCTGGTTCAAGATGGGTCGAAAATTTGGAATGCTAACTAACGCCAAGAACATAATCACGTACTCCTTGTCTCCATTCGAACAACGTGCATTTGCAGGGATAACGAAGGGGATGGCAAACATGGCCAGACGAGTAAAATCGCAGTTACCGTATCAGCTACCGGCTGTTATCAGTGGAATATTGATCTACACATGGGCAAATGACGACTTTCACAAGCGAAATAGAAAGAATCTGAAAGACTTTGAAAATGACGAATGAACTTTGATACGGATCTTCTTACCTTTACCGTAAAGAAAATATTTTCTTGAAGTCTTGACCTGCACACGCAATTGATAATGTGACCCATAATCGATCAGCTGAAGTTGGACACCGTAACTTAGAAAAGTATTTTTTTTCTCGGTGAACTGATGCTTTTGGATCCTTACAATTAATGTTTATGGAACTTTTCTTATCGAGTGGCTCACTGGAACGTGAATAGTTTTGTACGATGATTTAAACTGTGAACACTTTATATGGTTGAATGTAATTAACATAATTCATGATCACACAATATCTTATCTCTGCTTTCCTTTATTAAGCTTGCAAAACTAAACTGAGTTCTGAGTTCAGAGGCTATTGTTATTTCTGGAAATAAACAACAATGGGGTTGACATTTTGATTATTGTCATTTACAATAATGTTCTTACACACAGCAAACTTTCCTTACAAAAAGGTTGAAGAAAGATATCACAGATAATACCACAAGAAAATAGTCATCCATTTGATTTCTAATCCTTCATTGTCTCCTGTGAATATGGGTCATTTGGTTAGTCAGGTTAGAAGCAGCCAAAGAAAAGAAAGACATTACAACAGACAAAATACCAGTACATTAATCAAAATTCTCAAGATGCCTGTAACATTGAAGTGATCAATGTTACCAAAACTTTGCAAATAAACCTCTCAAGAAGGGTAGTATGTCAACTTAGGATATTTAAACTGAATTATTTGTAACTTTTGATGGCAGTTTCCACAGCTGGAACCAAATTATACAATCAAACTTGTGTCAAAAAGTCATCCAAAGGGAATGGCATGAAGATTGCTTAATTAATACAGTTTAACTGCTTAACACAGGTAAGGGTGACCAAGTAAAGGGTGACCACAAGTGCTTCATTGAGGTAAAAATAACAGTAATTAACCCTTTAACTCACAAGATCTGATTTTCAATTCTCACCACTAGTTATCACACTTTTCTTTGTAGATCAGTAACAAGAATTTGGTGTAAGATCAAGATAAAAACTTCAACTGCTAAGTTTGAGTATTCTCATCACCTATTTCCTAGACAATCTATGGATATAAGGAGAAGATGCATGTTTATCACTTCTGGGAGTTAAAGGGTCAAGGGATGAAAATTTTGGGGACTTTGAACAGCAACCACTTAATACAGGGTGGCTGCTAAAAACAGGTGCAACTGTAATTAGCAACAGAGTGCATTAGCAATTCTGTCAGTTTATTTATAAATTGACTTAGTCTTAGAAGAAACAAACTGTCAAAAACTGTATCTTTGCATCTGTTACATATTCACAATATGTTATGGCTTGTCACCTGGTAAGATACTGCAATATTTACTCAGAACGTAATCCCCATAGCGCATTGGAAAAGACAAAGAGGGCTTTGCCATTGACTTCTCCAAAGGAATTAGAGCTTTGTCAACAGGAATAGGTGAAATAATGCTGTCAAACCCTGGCTCATAAAACATTGCAACTGAAAGCCTATGACTGGTTGGTGACAGTTTGACCCTGTGGGGAGGGGCCTTGAAAGCTCCATTTGTCCAGATCTCTACCATGTCTCCTATGTTAATGACAAGAGAGCCTGGAACTGGGGGAACATTGATCCACAATCCATTTGTGGTCTCCACTTCAAGTCCACCAACATCATCTTGGAGAAGGACAGTCAGCATGCCATAATCAGTATGTCTCCCTACTCCCCACACGTCTGAGTCATCTTTTGATGTCGGGTGGGGAGGGTAGTGAAACATGCCTATTTGAGCAAAAGGATCATCAGTGAATTTCCTGTCAAAAAATTCCTTTTCCAGGCCTGCAAATAAATGAACGAACAAGGAAGTTTGTCAGACATCATTGCTTGGTCTAACTCTTTCTTCCATAAAGTTCTTGTGTGGTTGGGTTGGAGAATTTGGTATTGAATTAAGTAATAATCCCCTAATTTATATTTTTCTCCACTCCCATCAATTGTCTGCCTGATGTTGGATCGATATTATAAGGAGAAATTCTGTCCTGGTCACTCATGGGAGTTAAAGGGCTGAGAAGGAGGAAAATATTACTCGCTTCCCATGATCCCAGCAAGAGAGGGCCATGACAGGCAACCATTAGCCCCTATCAATAAACGCCCAATAAACGCTTTATTCAAATAAAGGTCTGCTCAAGTAATTTGTGAGATTTCGGCCGCCGCGTCTGCGACTTACAAATTTCAATTTTCTACATTAACCAGTTTTAAAGTCTGATTGTGAGGTCACCAACCTAAAAACAGCGCTATGCAGCTCAGTAATTTCGACGCCAAAGTTTGAGTCTTTTCAAAGTACTCCTTTATCACTGCTTGGAATCTTGGGACATATTCATCGCTTGGCCAAGGGTTACAGCCACAGAAAACCCTTTCTTTTCTTCCCTGTGGCACATTGTTAAAGTCACGAAAATAATATATCCCTTCTTTCCACTCAACGCAGCCGTACTCGATGCTCTGCTCTTCTCCTTTTGTAAAATATCCGCGGAAACCGTCACGTCTGTGAATTTCTCCTTTTTTCTCTGTCGAAAGATTAAAAAATTGGCATAGTTTTTCAAAAACTTGCCCTTTTAGTTCTTCCTCGATTCCATGGTTGACGACGTAAAAGAAGCCAAACTCAAGACAAGCTGTTCCAATTGCCATTATCTGCTCCAAGTTTGGGTGGCCATTTTCGAGGTGAGCCAAATCGATCACTGGAATCTTTGTATCCATTACTACAAGCTCAGCCAATTTGGAAAGAGGGATACCACCAAATATTTCATTTTATAACAAACTCGATCACAGTGTCAATTTGGACACCGACGTGCGTGACTCTCTGTCGCGCGGTAACTGATCCTTATCTCGTTTTTGACCAATCACGAAATCCTAATTAATCGAACAAAGCTGGACCTTGGATAGTGAATCGCAAAATTTGCGACGTTCCTTCTCTTAAAAGCTGCTACTGCTTTCCGGATCTTCTTTTGTAAAGTCTCCTTTCAAATTAATATAACAATAAGCAATGCAGGCAAACACGCAGAGGCAAAACACTAAACTAGATACTCAGAAACGTGGGCTTCTCCATGGTTTAATTTTCCAAGTTTAGCCGGTGACAACTGTTTTTAAATCGATGCTTAAGGGTATGCTACAAGTGAATAAAGGCTGATAGTTTCCAAAGAAACTGTTTGGGGTTACGTCGGTGGGGGTAACGAAATAATTTGGATATATAAACTAAAGTTGAGATGGTAAATTGGCCACCGTAACGATTACAAAAGCTGACGTTTCGAGCGTTAGCCCTTCGTCGGAGCTTCGTTGTATGCTACAAGTGGTTCCCTGATGTCAATTTGTTACAATTTGCACAAGGTAATGAAATGAACGGGTGAAGCTCAGGGTTTAGGATTTAAAAGTCCGCGGCGTTCGTATATTCGTATCAAACCACCCCTTCCCGGCCAGGAGCCGGACAAACTGTTTCAATTCCTTAAAGCTGGTAAAACTGGTGCAGGAAGACCATGCTGGCTTTTAATACACAAAATAATCGAATGAGTTTCTATGGGTGATGACACTACAACATCCGCCTTTTAAAACTTAGCCTCAAGAACATGCAGATGCAGAAATGGCACTTGACTTAAAACCAAACACACTTAAAAGCAATATCTGAGGAGCCACCCCTATCATCATATCATCATAGGAAAGCCATTAAAGATATCTTGGTCAGAGCTCAACTTTGGGCGTAGAAGTTTAAGCCCGCTAGCGCTTGTAGGCTGGTCAACCCTTTCAGAACAGAACTCATGACAGTCACGCAATACTAATTTGTTGGTCTCCCCATTCCTTCACGTCCTTTTTTTTTTACAACACACATGCGGGAAGAACGATGGAAAGTAAAAGAATTCACACTAAGGCCAATCCAATGGCCAGATCCACAATAATTGGAAAGTTTTTAACCTTCTGGTAGGTTTATTTGGGCATTTGTTATGTTGTAGAATCCATAATAGGTGATGTTTTGATGGGCAAACTTCACATATCCCAAATGAGCATTAGTTGCAACTTCTGCCAGTCACCGGTCACTGAGTGATTGTTAGTCATTGACCTATCAATCGATGTCATTGGTCTTTTCTAAGTTCCATAGAGTAAAATACAGCCATTTCATTCTAGAATCATTTGGGGATCTTCTGGACCTACTTCATAGCCATAATGGCGACATTGTTGCAACGTGCAAATTCAAAGAACCTGAGTAAACACTCCTGGAACTTTCTACGATTTTGCTCGAACGTGAGAAAGGCACGTAGGATGTTGGGAGAACACGGTTCAGCTCGTGATTTATAAGCTTTCTGAGTGTTCTTCCAACATCCCAAGTGGTTTTATCTCGTTATTGATTCCGGAGAAATGTGTACTTGACTATTGCTTTTATGACATAATTAGTTACATACTGGCTCTATAACCTGATTAAGCATCTGCTTGGAAACTGAATTGACCAATCGGACAATGTAATATGTTCATTATGTTATAATTAACAACTATTCACCAAAGTGGAGGTGGTTATTGGTGGATATTTACCGAGCCGCGAAGCGGCAAGGTAAATATCCACTGCTAACCACCGACACTGAGGTGAATAGTTGTTTTAGTATATACTAAAACAGTGAGATAATATACACCACCGTCTTTAATTTGAGTGATTTCTTCGCTTGTCACGAATGCAAACCGGGATGCCATTTTTTCCCAAGTTGCTCGGAGGTAAATAGCAAAGGATATTCGGAGTTTGACTAGCCAATCAGAGGGCGCCTTCAACGCTATCCACTGTTTTAGTATATACTAATAAAGAATAGTATGGGGCTGTAAGCAAATCTTACTGCATGTCATACTGATAAGGTGGGGAAGGTAAGTTGTGGAGGTTGTATGATAATGTGCTCAGCTTATTGTTGCAAGCCTCTTCTCATGTTATTCCTAATTAAATATTCCACTTGAATTTTCTCTTGTAACCTTAATTGAATACTGCACCCTCTATCTATTAATACTAAATATACTTTCTCTGATTCTTCATTCACCTCTTAAAATATCATACATTTTAATTGAGGTTACGCCAGGACACCTGTATGAAGTTTCACATGTTAATACTAGTTCTCTCAATTGTCTGATTGATATGAAATGCCTATCTGCTTGATAGTGCATTAGTACCAAATAGAGGTTTTGCACAGCAGCCATGTTGGATGGCAGGAACAATGGAAATATTTTGCATAAGAAAGAAATTTTTTTCTCTTGGGAAAAATAATTTATTGTTCCTGCCATCCAACATGGCTGCTGTGCAAAACCCTCTATAAGGAAAATTTTACATGTTGGTCACTCAAAGGAGTTTAAGGGTTAAGTGGAAACTCAGAGAACTCTCAATAGAGTCCAGGGGCCCGTTTCTCGACAGTCCCGGTAACTTTACGGGCCCGTAACTATGTTTTAAAATCAAAATTTAAAGGATAGGAAAGCAGGTTCGGGCACCCAAACCAGTCCTTTTTGTTTCTTTAGCTGATAGTTTTATTACATCATTTTCAAAACTTTTGAAATCCCCATCTTGAATGCAAACAAAACAACTTTATGGGCCCGTTAAGTTACTGGGACTTTCGAGAAATAGACCCCAGGTAATATAGAGTGACCACTTAATTTGAGTTAAGCCAATGGACTCTAATAATAAACTCTATAATTTTGGGGGGCTAAACAATTGATGACTGCTTTTGGTGTCTAGGTTTATTTACAAATGTCTTCATTAAGTTTCAGTTTTAAGTTATAATTTAAGAAGGACAAATTTTAGACTTAGCCCTTTACACCCTAACATCAGTAGGCATATTCTCCATACTGTTCTCTATACATTTCCTAAGGTGCTGACGAGGAGAATTTGTTTAACGATCAAAAGAGATACAATCAATCGCTAGACAATTTCATTTACCTAACCATTCTAAGCAACGTATGGCAATCTGTGGTCTTTCCTTACTCTTAGGTAGCACGGAAAGCGTAAAACTCTTGAACAAAAGCTCATCTTTCAAACTGGCAGTCTAAATCCCACAGGGATCAACGAACGCTTTTCATTCCACTAATTTATTCGTGTTTTTCTTGTTGCCATGTTCCAACCAATCACGTAGCTCCATTTTGTGCCTTTAAAAGCACACACAACCCACAATTCCTCTCTTTGCTCTGATGAAGGGCTAACGCTCGAAATGTCAGCTTTTGCAATTGTTACGGTGGCCAATTTACCATTTCAACTTTTTTGATATATCCAAAAGAGTATCTTTAGTCAACGTTCTTTTCCTTTATTCGCTTGACCCTAATGTGTGATTTGAGGGTGAGAATGTAAGGAGAAATTAGATGCTTTTCAATCGTTGGGTTCAAAAGGGTTAAGCTATATGTCTGTATGGTGTATTCTTAAAGTGACTCCTCCCTAATGCAGGGTTCACTGTCTTTGGTTGAGGAAACTCGGTGTTACTCTCAAAGTAAAATCCTTAAGCTAAATTAGGTAAGCTTTTCTCCTCAACTGTTTGACAGCTAATGTGGGGATGTTAATGTGTTTTTGTTGATCTCTTATGGGATTGAATAGATAGGGAAGGTTATTTACATGAGGTCTAACATAAGGTTATTGGTCTATTGTGGTTTTACACAAGCAATGGGCCTTATATATTCTCTATAAGGGTTTTTTGTAAATAAAATAACTGTCCTGCCACTGCTACTTTTGACCCTCTTGACTTTGTTCACAACAATAAATGTGTATATAAATGATTCAGCTAAATTCAAAATAGTTTAGAATGCAATTTTGTTAAACAATGGGTAAACTTTGTTAAAAAAACTGGCCCACAGGGTTTTGCTTTCATCTATAGTGACTGCACAAAAATAGGCCAGGGTGTGTACAGAGTCCATTACTTTTATAAAAAAAATCTTTGTATTCAAAGTTTTTATTTTAATATTATCGTCATTTTTAGGTGGATGAACAATTTCTTCCGGGAAGGATTCAAGCGTCCCCTTGATAATTCAGATATCTATGAAATTTTGCCTGAAGAAGCAGCTAAAGGGCTGGCTGATAGACTTGAAAAGTATGTTTAACAGTAGTTTTTTTTTAATATTACAAATGGTTAAACTCAAAACTACAGTTAATAGATCAGTCCTTTTTAGGTGTATTGATTGGCTAGTTCAGTTGTGATTAGCAAGTTTTAATAACCTTTGAACAGCTGGAGTGACAATTGTGGTTAGGAGTTTATTTTCTAACCATTTTTGTATAAATAGACTGAAGTAAACTAATTTTTTGGTTACTATATAGTATAATTATACTAAAACAATTACATTATATTAAGCTATGCTAATTTATATGTAACATTACATGAAAACTCCTCTCAAATGTGCTATTTTTATTTACAGACTGTGGGATGAAGAATTAAGAGATGCTCAGAGGAAGAATAGAAAACCGCGGCTCAGAAATGCGTTCGTTAAGTTCTTGGGAATCCTCTATTTCATGTGTGGCATTCTTCCAATAATGGAGGTAAGTCTGATCTGTTTTTTGAAACAGTTTGCCACAAAGAAAATTTTAGTTAGTAGAGTTACAATAAAGAGCCTTTGCTGTTCAAATCAATACATGTTTCAATAATGTTTAGCACTTAAGTCAAGAGATTTAGCAGCTGTTGTAAATTTTTGGGTAGTTGTTTAGGTTTAGGTACTGTTTATATGGAGGAGGGGGATGTCAGGTAGGTGAGGTATAACCAGCACCTAGGTGCTGGCTAACCTTTCTGTTCATATAGTCTCTTATTTTATCTTGATCATGTGTACTAGATGCTAGTCAAGGTGTTTGCCTGGTAAGCTGG